ATCAAATGCACTCATGCAAACCACTGCAGATTGATTTTAACCTGAGATCAGCAAAGACAACATTTCAAAAAGGAGAAACACTGACAGTTTGAGGCTCCATACTGACAGGCATCTCTCAATCCTACCATCGCCCTCTAGTGGTGAAAAACACTCAATGCAGTCTGTTACTCACCTTCACCTCTGTAATGTTTATTATTTCATTTTGTCCCAGAACAGATGTTCAAATGCAGACAACTGAACTGCACACAGGTCCTTCAAGGTCTGCAGCAAGATGCTACGCATGTTCTACCAATCATCAGTCTTCTTTGCTGCATTGTGTTGGGGCAGAAGATGAACTAATCAGAAAGGCTAGAGAGGTCATTGGGATCAACCTGGACTCTCTGGAACTGGTTGTTCAGAAGAGGACCCTGGCTGAGCTGCTACATGAGAGCGTGATCTGACAGCAGAGCAGCTTTAGATCCAGACTGATACAACTACACTGCAGCAAGGAGCTCTACAAGAGGTCATTCCTTCCTACTGTCATCAGACTGTATCATTCATCTGCCCTGTGCCGGAACTATTAGGACACTGCACAATGTCTCTGATTTTTCATTAAATTTTATGCACCTTATCTTAGTATTTTTATTTAAATTAACATATTAACATCTGGGTTGAAACAGGACTTATTTCTATGTCTTTAGTGTCTGTGCATCTTGGTACATACTTAAATGCAGTAACTCACTTGAGTAACTCAGTGCTTTCAGCAGTTTTAATGCTTATTGCACACACTAGTCATTTTAGTAAGTATTTTAGTATTAATATTTTAAACTACATAAAACTGTGTACATTATTTATGCTGGTTTCAGGTTGTATGTTTTACTTACAGTTTTAATGTTTACAGCTCTGTTTTATATGTATTTTATTTTAAAAAGCCCTCACAGGCTGTTCATAAAAATTTTTTATGTGCTTTGTGAATGCTGCCCAACAAAACTGAGTGCCTTTACCTGCACTCAATAATCCGATCATAATCGGATTTCTGCAGTTATCTGATTATTTAAATGGTCATGTAAACAGCACTCTCTGATTTCTTAGATCGGAGTAAGGTCTAAAAATTTGACAAAGTGAGCTGGATTTTAGCTCAGTAATCGGATTTCTCAGTGCACGTAAACTCTTTCCGATTTCTAAGTCTGCGCATGTGCGAAAACAGGCCACGGTGCTGGAAATAAGCAAGCAGCATTGCGGCAAGATGGCAGCAAAACACTTTCGAAGCGATGCTGAAACCAACTACATGCTTCACAAAATGAAGGATTTGAATATTCTTCATCTTCTAGATGATGTATGTTCATATTTTCAGGTAAAATGGCTCAGTGTTAAAAAAAATGCTGTGGTATGAAGTTTGAGTATTATGTTACGTTGTCATCAGGTCTTTGGATCGGATTACTGACAAAATCTAATTTTTTTTTGCAGTTATCAGATTTGTAAGTGCATGAGAATGCACTCCATTTGGTTCTGGGATTAATTAATTATGTATTTATCTATGTATCTGTCTATCTGTAGATAGCAGAAGTTCAGTGTAGTTGCAATTAGTCTAATAGGCTAATATTCAGGCCAATCTGATTTTTCTAGTTTCATTCAAATGCAAATGCTCAACAGCTCATGACAAGGTGGAGCAACACAGCAAGTGGCAAATGGTAAAAAATTGTAAAATGGTTAAAAAAAAAAGGGGGTTTAAGGTCTTTAAGGGTTCTTTAGTAAAGACAATGGTTCTCTATAGTATGTTTTTTTGCATGGTGAAATGGTTCTTCAGATTGCTGGAGAATGTGTTGTATATGGGGCTATAAAGAACCTTTTGGAAAAAGGTTCTATTGTTACAAGCTTTACATCATTACAACAGAAAAACCCTTTTTGGTGCTATAGAGAACCATATACAACACATTCTACATTAATCTGAAGAACAATTTCACCATGCAAAGAACTGTTACACATGTAAATGTTTTTTTGAGGATTCATGATTCTATAGAGAACCATTGTCTTTACTAAAGAGCCTTTGAAGAACCATGATCTGTAGGTGTGTACAAGGGGAGTGTGTACAAGTCTCCATTAATTGGGACTTATCCGTCTCCTATTTCAGCCTCAGCAGGTGCTGAAATTCTCTGGATTTAAACATAAAAACACTTAATCTTTCATCGTTTGCTGCATGCAGTAGAGCCAGCAATTTCATGATTAAACCTAAAAGACAGGGAGTCACAGCAGGCAAATACACAGAGAAAGTGAGAGAGAGGGAAGAAAACACGATTAAGGCACCAGGAAGCTAAAGGGGATTTTCACCATTAAAAAATCATGAGCAAATCTGTAAAAAACGTTCTTCACTGCTTATCCTTTTGATCTGTCTTTTAAAATAATTACAAAAAAAATAACCTTTATTTGAAATACAACGATTGAAAGAAAAAAACCCAAATCTTGCAAGAAATTTTTTTCTCAAATCTGTGTGTGCCAGTATTGTTGGCACCCCTAGAAATTCTAACTGAAGTATATTCCCATTCATATTTTGTGTTAAAGTTCACCTGAGCGATTAGCAACACTTAGTCAGCCATGACTTCCTGATTTTCATTTTTTTCATTGATTTCCATTAAAGATTAATACGTTTAAAACAACTGGAGATGTTAACAATCTGTAAGGAAGAGAATGTATTGACCCCACACACAGTGAGGAGGATGGCTTAAGTGGCCAAAAACTCTCCAAGGATCACAGCTGGTTAAGTGCAGACTGCAGTTAGGACTTAGGGTCAGAATGTCTCCCAAACCACAATCAGAAACCAACTATATAACCGCGAGTTGTTTGGGGGGTTGCCAGAAGGAGGCCTCTACTGTTAAGGACCAACAAAATCAAGCACCTGCAGCTTGCCAGACGTTACTTTAACTTTCAGTGGGACAGTGTTCTTTGGACAGATGACCATAATATAGCTTTTTTTGCAACAAACGCAAAAAGTGGGCAGTCATGCAGAAAGGTACCTAATCCCCAATATGAAGTATGGTGGTGGTCTGTGACATTATGGGGCTGTTTATCTTCTAAAGGCCCTGGACAACTTGTTCAGATACATGGTATCATAAACTCCATTAAACCAAAACCTGACTGCCTCATCCAGGAAGCTTAAACTGGGTTGTGTTGGATCTTCCAACAGGACAATGATACAAAGCACACCTAGAACTGGGATGAGCTGAAGAATAGACCTTGGAATCTAAAGGATATGGAGAGGCTCTGTATAGAGGAATGGTTGCCATGTGTTCTCCAGTCTCATTAAGTGTTATAAGAAAAGACTCAAAGTTTTGATCTTAAGGGAGGTTACAGAACCTATTAAATGAAAGGGTGTCAACCACTTTGGCACACACAGATTTGAAAAAGGATTTAAGTTTTGGGGTATTTTAGTGATTGTAGTTCAAATATAGATAGATATATAGATATAGATATAGATAGACTCAAGATAGATTTTTGTTAATATTATGAATGAAAGATCAACAGGATAAGCAACAAAGATTTTTTTTACAGACTGTTAAGCTCATGTTTACTAGGGGGTGCCAATATTTGTGTTAGATGATAAATAAAATGGCTATATTTGTGCTAAACACATCACAACAACTGGTTCCTTTCACCACCACCGGAGAGAAAAGCCAGCAAGTTTCTCTTTAATGTTCATTAATTTTTTTTTAGGTTCAACCACTGAATTATGCAGAAATTATAGAGGACATCAGATTCTCCTTTAACATTGACTGAACTTTGACAAATTGAGCTTTCCAGTCTATGAATCCAAACTCATATCATGCCCCTTAGAAGACAGTAAGTCTCTTCGTAGGAGCTGCTCGAATATGATAAGGTGGAGCTGTGAGCCACTGTCTGGCTTTGTGGAGCCATGCTGTCTGCTGTGAGCCCGGGAGGGCAGAGGGATTTATGGGGGCAAAGAGAGGGCGCATGGGCTGGTGTGGCCAGGCTGTTGATTATTCATGCTCTGGCAGCACTAGTGGCCAACAGAACTTTAGTGCAGCACCCAGACGGCCTTAGACACCTGACCACTTTATGTCAACACATAAAACACGCACTCTAGTGGAAAGACACAGACAGGTGATTTAGCATGGTTAATCTGTTAATCCTGTCTGTTCACTTGTTCCAAAAAAAAACAACACCCAAAACGAAACCAAAAAACTGCAAGATACCTCACAGTTCTTGGTAACACTTCACTTGAACCCTGCTACGTAACATTGATATAACCGGGCCACAAGCATGTCATGACAGTTGCATGTTACCATTACCAGTAGTTGTCATGAGAGATGTCATGTTTACAGTCATGACAGCTCACATCATCTGCTAATTCTGCAGCAACACTTAACTGAAGGGTGGCACTCGTAAGGCTACACAGCACCTACATAGGCCTTTTATGACAACTGAGTTCCACCTACAATAACATATAAATGTTTATTCATCACCATCAGTTGTCATAAACCCTGCTTTAGTCAGCTTCACATCAGTGTTATGACAACCGATGCTTGTTGGAATGAGCCTTTTTAAGTAGGTTTGTCAGTGGTCATGAAAGGCATACATGTATGTGACATGCATGTGGGCATTCTTTTTGGATGCCAATGGACATAAGATTCACAGAAAAACTATTTAATAATTAGACTGCTGCACTTACACACTGTAAACCCAAGTGTGCTGGTGTGCATTAACCATGATTAATGCTTTGAAGCTCCTCTGTGTGTATGTGACCTCACTGCACCATTGTCTCATCGGGCACATCAGCAGAGCAGCAGTACTCCACAGGGCAGAGATGAAGTCACAGAAGCACCAGAGGAACACATACATACCCCCCGCCCAGCTTCGTCAAGTCTGTCTGAACCCAGTTACCTCAACGCGACCGTGCCGATTCCACCAGTCACCGCTGTAAACGGCACAGCCACAGAGAGACTTAACATGTCTGATGCAAACCCTCCTGAATGTTTGTCGAAACAACTTTAGCCGACACAACGGACTCTGTTTTATGCATTTATTTATGTAGCAATTTATTCTCTGATTAGCTGCTGAGGGGCTGCTTCAGCAGTCTGATAACCACATGTCGGAAGGCCTGTGGTTCTGCTCAGTCCTTTACCTCCTCTAATTTCTGTGTGATCCTTCCCAAAAATACCACAAAATTTGCCTAAAAATGTCACCCTTTGAAAAGTCCCTGCATGGTTGCAAGTTCATCAAAACTCTAAACTCTCACTCAACTTCCCCCACCCCTCCCCGGGTCCCCCATTTTCAAAGCTAGTGAGGTCACACATTAGCAACAGAGGACAATCAGCGTATTTTCCCCCAAAGGTTTTATAACCATCCTGTTCACGCACACAAACAACCTTCTCCTTATTTTAACAGCCAGAGAAGAACAAAAAAGGATTAAACATAATAAACTCCCAAACCTTCTGTACAGAGAAAACAAACTAAATGGAGAAAATGTCTCTTATATTAGTCCGCGCAAATCCTCCATATTGTCTCTCGGGTCTGCATTTTAATTGGGATGGGAGACACACAAATATACCAAATACAGTTCTGTGTGTCAATGAGAGGCTTTGTGTGTAGTAGGCAAATGTCAATACGTCTGTCTTATGTCTGTCGCTCAGCCGTCCAACTCTGTCTGTCTTTAAATGGATTAGAAACAAGTAGGTCTTGGCCATGTCTACGATAGTGTGAATATGCATGTGTGTCATAAGTTAACATTATGTAAGTCTAAATCAGTGTGTGCATCTGTGTGTAACTGTGTGCAGGTGTGTGTGTGGGGGGGCGGGGGGGGGTTTAGGAAAGTCTCTAGGCCAGCCCGAAGCCCTCGGAGCATTCCTGAATGGCCAGCAGCAGCATGTGTCTCAACTTCTCGTAGCTCTCGTAGGCTGGGAGATCCAGCTGGTTAAAGCTGTAGAGAGGAGAAAGAGCAGTCAGACACCCCCCACTCTAAAGTGAGCTCAATACATTCAATAATTAATATTTACTGAATTCAGTTAAAACACATGCATATCTGAAAGCAGAAAATGTTCAACAGAATGTTTAAAGCTTCTGCTCCTAGTATGTTTCAGACCTGGAGTTAGTAAGATTGTCACGTGATTTCACCTGTGTAGCCACTCACTGTTATAGCTTATACACGCAACTTATTATTAGCAAAAACATGTCTATGTACCACCCCCCCGCTCTCAAAACAACCACTTTGATTCCAGGCTGACAATCATTGTTTTATAACACAGATTTTGGGAATGTTTGATATGTATGAGCATCCACTTAAAAGGTTTAAGACATATCACAGTCCTAAAAATTTTGCTTATTGCAATTATCCATCTTATTTTCTCTGTTTCTTAAAAAAATACGTATCTGCAATAGATAATTTTACAAAACAAATAAATTACAGGCAAAATTCTAATTTCAGAGCCCAGCTGACTGTCCTACACATCTGTCTCCATCTGTTCCCTCCTTCCACAACTGGCTAAAACTCTCCCAGTGAACAACAGTTTCACTTGCAGGATGAAGACATCAAGTTTGAGGACAGTAAATGTTTCAATGAACATATCTTGACTAATGTTGTATAAACCTAACACTGATGTCAACAAAATGTTGAGCTAGTTCTCTTTATAGCAATGTCAAAATGTGGTCCTGGCCCAAAATGACAGGTAAGGTCATACATAGTCATAGCATTACATTTTTCACTTGTTGTAGTTCTGTAATGTGGATACATTTCAGCAAGCGCTTACCAAGTGTGTGCAGAGGGCAGGCGGTCAGTGGAGCGGTCATCACGATGGATCTGGAACTTCTGGATACCATTCATGCCCTCTAGCGCAGCAAAACCCTGCAGAGGCACTTTGGACGTGCCCGTCACAAACTGCAGGAACTTGGCCCGGTCAGCCTGGTCAAAGGAGCGCAGTGCACGCCAGAACCACTGGATCTACACAGGTAAGGACAGAGATTAATACCAAAACCACTTCTTCATAGGCATAAAAGTACATGGCTGGTGAGAGGGGAAACCAACTGAATGTCTGTTAACTGTGTGCAATAATAACCAAAAAATAATGTAAACAGACATGCATAAATAAGCATAAGCTTATAATTCATTTCTTATTGTTTTAAATTTCAAACTGCTTAGAATCTGCGTGCACGTACTTGGATAGAGCTGGACTGGTACTTGTGGTACTCTGTGTTGGCCTTGAGATCGTCAATATCGATGGTGGGCAGGCCCGAGATAAGCAGCTCCAGTTCCTGCTCAGTGAAGATGGAGATGAGCCTCTTGGGGATGATCTCATAAAAGCCCTCCAGAAAGGCTGCCAGCTGTTTACGAATCGCACCTTCAGAATACAATAAAAGTGGCACATTAAAACAAATAAAAATACATCACAGATATAATTCTACACTTGTTCTGCTCCAAAAAAAAAAACCAACAAAAAAAAACCCTCTGTAAAATATACTTTGTACCATGTAAGCATATTCATGCAGTATAATTGTACCTGTCATCTTCATCTGGCACACCAGATGCACATACTCTTTCTTGTTCTCCTCAGTCACCAGGATGTTGGCCCCATTGGGCTTCAGGTCCCTCACTTCACACACACCAAACTCCTGGACCTGACAGACAGAGTGGTTCTTATTAGGGTGGTCAATTGATTAAAATCATACAGCTAGCATATGCTTTATGCAATTAACGGCTTTTACGAAAAACTGCAGCTTTCCACTTTCGTTAGTTTGTTGCCTGTTGATTTATTCATAGGTCTCCCGAAAGCACTGTCCAGCACAGTACACCAAAAGTATTGTCATTGAAAAGCTGCATTTGACCAAGCTGTATCTGACAAAGCATAAGACCAGCTGGGCTTCTGCCTGCACTACTACAGATGTGTCAGAGGGTCATACTAGGAAAATGCATAGATGGCATTTAAAATAATTAGTAGCGTTAATATTTAGCATGATGACAGCCATGGTTATTATGAATGTCATAACATATGGACAACAAATAGCATCAAACAACTCAATCACAAAACAACAGGCATAGAGGATAATAAGGGCATAAAAAGGCAAGTAGTATCTATACATTACTCCCATTTAGAAAGAACTGCACTGGCTACCTGTATCTTTAGAATAGATTTTAAAGTGCTGCTACTAGTTTTTAAGGCTCAAAATGACCGAGCAAAGCTTACATCGCACAATATCTGTCAATGTTCCAACATGTGATCTTAGATCTGCAGATGCTGGCCTTCTGCAAATATCTCCCGTAAAATACAGAAAACGTGGAGAGGCCTCTTCTGATTATTATGCTTGTAAACTGCGTAGCTCAATTCCACCCTTTTCCAGACAGTAAAGCTCAGCGCACACTTAAGAAACATCGGAAAACTTAGTGCTTACTTAAAATTACTTAAGTCTTTTTAGTATTTATCTTTATTAAATTTGCTCATATGATTTTAAATTAATACTCAGTTTCTTCTATTACTGTTTTATTTTATTCCATTACTGTTACTATTTTACTGTTTCTAAGTTTTATCACCTGTCTTTAAAGCACTTTGAACTGCCTCTAGTATTAAAAGGGCTCTATAAATAAAGACATAATTGTTATTATTATACCTCTGTGCTGAATGTCAGCTCGTAGCCCAGGGTGGACACATCATTCTCTAGCAAGTAGACCAAGCCCTGGAAGAAGGGATAATCCTCGCTCTCCATGTCTGTGTACCTGAGAGAAACATCATTAACAAAAGAGTTTAGTCAGAAGACAACACCACACGCAGTCTTAGAATAAAACTGCATCAAAACAGACTCTACTGTAAGTCTCTTATTTACTCTGAAGTTCAGTGTAATTCCGTTACTCACCTAACACTCTTCCCGAGGATGTGTTTGTAGAAGCTGCGTGTGAAGTAGCACTCCAGAAGTCTGTTGTCGTAGACAGCCTTGGCCACCACCCGCCCCACAAATTTGAAGTAGCTGAGATGGTTTGGATTGCAGTGAGAGGAGGGGTTGATTGTGTAGGTGACCCGGTCTCCTGGTGATGTGCGGAATAGCGCGTACATGGGGTTAAACATCTCTCTGGAGATAATCATGTACCACTCTCTTAACAGGCCACCAGCATCTTGCCCCTCCTCTCCTTCAAACACTATGTACCTGAAGAGCACAGGGAGAGACAGTGTGAGTGACAAGTACTCAAAATAAGTATGGAGGCATAAAGAAGCAACATTAGCAGTTTGTATTAGTCATTTTTCTTGGTTTAAAAAAAAAGTGCTTATCCATTAACTGTAATTGTTTTGTTTGTTTTTATTGTTCAAATGTTTGCTGAAGTCATTGAGTGCGTTTACATGCACTTAATAATATGAGTCAGGCAGTAATCGGATTTCTGCTTTGCAACCAGCCAATAAACTCACAGAAGACGACGAGACATAAACATAACATAAAACTCAAACTTCGTGCCATGGCTTTAAAAAAAAAACATCGTGCTACTTTAACTGAAAATATGAACACATCATTTAGAACATGAAGAATATTTAAATCCTTTATTTCATGTTTGGTTTTGCTGCCATTTTGTGTCATCGTTGCTTGCTTATATCTGTTACCACTGTGTTCTTGTGCACGCGCAGACTGAGAAATCTGATAGAAATCCGAGTACGAGTATACACGCACTGAGAAATCTGATTACTGAGCTAAAATCCAGCCCTCTTTATCGGATTTCTTAATCGGATTTCTAGATTGGTGTATGGTTTTTACACGACCATTTAAATAATCGGATAGCGGCAGAAATCTGATTATGATTGGATTACTGAGTGCATTTAAGCACACCCATTGTGTGCATCTGTTTGTGTACATATTAACACAAAACACACTCTTAGATTTCATGTGGATTTTGGCTTGCAGCTTGTAGCAGTGTATTTATGTGTCTGTCACTCACAGTCTGTTCTTCATATCCTCTGGGCTCTTGCGGTGCAGTTCTCTGTACGAATCTTCGAAGACGTGGTCTCTCCTCACATGAACAGCCATATCCTCCTTCCTCAGACCCTCGTCCAGGCGTTCCAGCTCCTGACGGAAATACCTGACAGACAGAAATACCAGTCAGCTCTCAGCCCAGCACACACACCCTCAGCACACTGGACAGAAAAAGCACTGCAATCTATCCTCCTAACAAGCACAAAGATAGCAAAAACTAAAGAACAGAATCTGAGTAAAAATAAGTGTAAAACAGGAGCAATAGGTAAAGCTCAAACAAAAGAGTATGTGGCAGTTAAGCCTTACTTGCGCTTGACATCAAAGTCGAGAATGCGGATGTAGTCCACAAGGACAGCGAAGGGGCCATCTGCCAGGTGAGTGGTGGACTGGCGCAGGATCTGGTTTAGCACTGTTCTGTGAGTCTCTGTTTCAGACGGAGGGAGATAAGAGAGCATATATGCAGTGTTCATTCTAACATTGTAAAAAAATTCTGAGAGTCCTGTGGCGTGTGTTTTGAACCCACCAGCAAAGCGCAGAAACTTCTGTGTGTCTGGAGGCAGGTTGGAAGAGATGTGCATGGAGGAAGGCTCTCGGGAGAAGAAGGGGTCCAAGGAGGAGGGGGTGGCGGGGGTGAGGGGGGCAGGAGACAGTGGAGGCGGCTCATCCTTGATGTGCGACAGCTGACTCTCTCGAGTGTCCCGCACTGGGGGCTTACTCTCTCGCTCGGTGGCATGCACCAGAAAGAAGGCCTCCACCGCAGGCTGGAGAACTTTAAAAACACACAAAACAAATGTAAATTCAATTGTACGTTAATCACTTAGTCAACGGAATATCGACTGTAATACACAATTACCCAGAACAGCATGTTGGTCATGTGACTCCTCCAGCTCTTTGAGACACTCCCCTAGCATGTCCCATAGTTCGTCCAATAAGAGCTGCTCGCTCAGCAGTGGCAACTCAGGCAGTCTTTCCTCCTGCTCCTGCTGAGTGCTGCTCTCCTCACCTGAACACACAGAAACATTTCTGTCAATTCTCTTTAAGGCTTCATAAACCAACAATCACCATTTAAAGGTCTTAATAACTGAAATGCTAGTTTTTATATGGAATAGCACTATAAAGCTCATCAGAACAAATGGGCATTGCTCATATACTGCCTAAGGGCTATTCTCCCACAACAGCAACATTCTGTTGTTGGCAGCTGGACTAGTACCGCTCCAGAGTAGTAATAACCAGAGACCATGAATTAGAGAGAACATTCCAAAACAGTGTAAATGAGGGGAGAACGTTCTAGAGACTCTCACACAAGTATGGCACAACAGCCCAGCATTTGGGTTTGTTAGGGAATGCTGGGCTGTTGTGCCATACTTATGTGGGGGTCTCTAGAACATTCTCGGCTAATTTATGCTCTGGCCTTAAGCCTAGCATTGCGGTACAGTGGAAGCTCACCAATAGGAGCCTGGTCCTGCTCCAGAGGAGAGGGCTGGTCCACGTCCATAGGAGAGTCATCTCTCTGCGCTGCTGGAGGCTCTGCCACAGAATGTCCTTCCGACTGAACCAGGAGAGTAAAAGGAGACAAGGTAAGATTTCACACCAACATCTGCAAAAAAGTCTTTGTGTAACGAGGGAATGACTGAAGTTTTTTTTCCTTCAAATGACGGAGAGCATCTTCAAAGTACAATGAAGAGAGAGCACCATGCATTACAAACAAAGGCAAGTATCGGAGAAGAGCTGGGAGGGGAGCTGAAGCACTGAGCAAAACAGCCACATTCAAATTCATAACACTGAGCCATACCATGTGCACAAACAACAGTGTGTCAATTTTAAATGCAGAACAATGCAGTGAATCAGTGCTGAAACCACATGGAACACAGTGGTGGTTGTGATACAAAAGAAGCGTAAGTATGTGCAGGTGGCCAATTTGGAAAACAGTGTCAAATAAGTACAGTGGAAATGTAAGAAATATTAGTCTGGGTGGCTCACACCATCATTGAGATTAACCACAAAGCACATGATCACTGGTGCGTATAGTTATTAACAGTATTACATAAAAGCAACAAATGTGTAACAGTTACGGTTTGTAAACAAGGTCAGTTCTTAAAAACTTGTATACTCAGTTTTGAACCATTCACCGCATGGTCATGACTATGGCACATTAAGTCAGTAATACAAGTAGTCTGTGCAAGTGTGTGTGGGCACTGGTCAGTAATATAAGTAGCAGTCTGCTTGCTGTCAGTGCAGCCCATGCTAACCGTGGCAGAGCTGGCTGGACCGGCGGGGGGGTTGTTGGTTGCAGCAGCGCTTGGGGCAAGACCAGCTGCTGCAGACGATCCGGCAGCAACAGCAGCAGCAGCAGCGGCGGCGGCAGCGGCGGAAGAGGAGGAGGACGAAGAGGGTGGGGGAGCCTGCTGAAGCCGGCGAGCCCGTTGTCCCTCTCTCACCATCTGAATGATGGCATCTGCTTCAGCCTCCAGCTGGCGAACAGCAGCCTGAATACTGCTCGCAGAGCCCAGACTGGTGGAGCCTACAGCAGCAGAGCAGAGAGAGAGTACAAAAGTTCAGATCACCACTGTACACCAGATTAAGCACTTACAGGAACGGTCACACGTAAAATCTAACATATGTATTCCTGATGTCCAAAATTTGCTTCAGTGTTCCATCAGATGGACAAGATCAACGTAGTTAAAAAGTATTGACAAACGTCACCCAAAATTTTTTCACCTAAATCATAAAGATGATTACAATTTTATGCTGATTTGATTAGCAATATCGATAACAGTTGTAATATTAATAAAATTCTACAGATACTCATCCCTAACTTTTCACTCACTCAGTCTTCCTGTCTGCTTAGCCTTTTTGTTGGCACGACGTGTGTCCTCCCTCAGCTGGATGATGACCTGCAACACTCGCAGGAAGAACTTCTGCGTGGAGGTCTTGGAGGTGAGAGAGCTCATGCAAGGCAGCTGGAGTTCTCGGCCACCCAGAGTACGCTTCTGAGCTGCCACAATCACCACACTTTCTGAGCCGTCAAACCTGCAGGGAAAGGAAGACCGTCAGTAACACAGAACTGACTGATACATGGTGAACACTACAACGTGGCTACTTTTATCAAGTAAAGGAAAATATTGTTTTGTTCCACAAAGTAGAGGAACAATCAGCGATGCTCACCTGCTGGTCATCGTGCCCTTGAGGCGAGCGGTGAGGGAGGGGTCCTCATGAGCGGCTTCTGGAGACTGGGCATCTGCCCGTGCTCTCCGCTGCTGCTCCAGGTTATACTCCCGCAACTCCGCCAGTAAAGTGCCTATAAAGCCACACACACACACACACACACACACACACACACACACACACACACACACACACACACCCAACAAACAAACAAACAACAAACATGAGATAACAGGTAACAGAAAAAATAAATATGGAAACAAAATTACATGTAAAAATTCCATTGAAAAGTAGTGATTTGCTGACCAATTTGTTTGCAGAGCGTGTAGCCGAGGTGGCGGGCCCCGCTGAGCAGCAGTCTGAGCACAGTGTCCCGGGTCTGGCTGTCCCCTCTGGACAACTGCAGAAGTATGTTAGCCGCGTCCTCCAAGCCCTCCTCTGAACATGAGTGGGATGTCAGCACCTGGTGGAGAACACACACACACACACACACACACACACACACACACACAAAACAAAGGGTCTCCTAATCACCTTGTAGTTGCTGGGTCAGAGGGATCTGGCAAACCAGACACAACGATTATGTATGTGCATGTGTAAAATGTTACACACCTCTACAGAGAGCTGCAGCTGTTTTTCTGTTAGTCCAGTGGAGGCCAACTTGGTATCACTGTCTGTGCTGCTCACTGCTGCCTTCTGTTTGCCTGCATCAGTAACACGGTTGCATTCATTATGCATTACCTTGGTTATCACATCACATTTCATAATACGTATTATGAGCACCTACATCAAAATAATGTTTTGAGCAATTAAACACAATGCCTGTATAAATAACATACAAAAGATGCAGTGCTGCACTCACTTCAGGCTTTCCAGAGCATGTTCAGTGTCAGTATTAAGTCATTTATAAAATACATCAAGACTACAAACTTTCAGCTCCCTACCAGCAGTGGTGCCTGTAGCTACAGTAGACGTGGTGGTGGCTGCAGCAGTAGCAGCGGAGACTGGCTGAGATTGTGCCACGACTGTCCCAACAGCTGTGCTCTGGGTACCTGCTGTACCCCCTGCCCCAGCAGTGGCCTGGGCAGTGGGGGCTGCAGGGACAGCAGTGGGGGCCTGAGGCACAGGGTGGCCAGCTGGCACCTCTGTAGCCTTGTTGTCAGGCAGGGCGATGGAGATGAGAGAGAGTAGTCGCAGGAGCTTTTCGGTAAGCAGGGAGCTGCGACGGATCACTGGGTGCGACAGCATGTTCATCAGCTGGCCTAACGGTGAGGCTTCTAGACTTAACTGGGCCCCCTCGCCCTCTGCAGATGCCCCCAGAGGCACAGTCTTCATGGAGGCCTTGCCTTTACGACTGACATTCATGTTGTCCAGCTTCACCAGTAGGTCCCAGAAATCAGTGGAGATGCCCAGGGACTGCGGGGTGACTGAACAGGAGCTGAGGGAGTTGTGGGTGGAGGAAGGGGTGCTGGGAGTGCCAGAGGGGTTGTTCTGGCTGGCACTGCCTGGCCTGCAGCTTCCTCCAGTTGCAGAAGCAGAGCTGCCACACAGGCGAGAGTCCAGCTCAGAGGAGGAAGATGACTGGGGGTCCTTACAGCGCTGTTGTGTGAAGTGGCTAGGGAACACCTACAGAGGAGGGATGGTGGTAAAATAAATAAATAAATAAATAAAAACAAACAAACAAACAAATTTCAATTACACCCACACCCCAGACATGAATTGAACATGAACTCTTTCCCCCAACTCAAACTTGGGATTCTTCCAAACAAATTCTAACGTTCCTTTAACAACCCCTTGCCCAAACAAGTTGTGATGTTGTGCAAAATGCAAATAAAAATGGAACGCAATGATGTGCAAACCACATAAACCCCATATTTAATTGAAAATATTACAAAGACATATAAAATTTTAAAAGTGAGAAATTTTTTTTTTAAAAAATAGATGCCCATTTTGAATTTGATGCCAGCAACTCGTTCCAAAAAAGTTGGGACAGGACACGTTTACCACTGTGTTGCCTCTTCTTTTAACACCACACTGTAAGCATTTGGGAACTGAGACGAACAATTGCTGCAGTTTTTAAAGTGAAATGTTTTTCCATTCTTGTTTGATGTAGGATTTCAGCTGCTCAACATTTCAAGGTCTCCTTTGTCGTATTTTTGTTTCATAATGCGGCAAATGTTTTCACTGGGTGACAAATCTGGACTGCAGGCAGGCCTGTTTAGCACCCTAATTAATTTACTGTAGAGCCATGCTGCTGTAATACAGGCAGAATGAGGTTTGGCATTATCTTGCTGAAATAAGCAAGGCCTTCTCTGAAAAAGAAGTCTGGATGACAGCATATGTTGCCCCAAAAACTGTATCCAGCATTCAGCATTAATGATGCCTTCAACATGTGCACTAATGCACCCCTGTACCATCATGGATGCTGGCTTTTGAACTGTCCACTGTTAACAAGCCGTGTGGTGTTCAGCCCAGAGGACGTGATTCCAAAAAGAATTTCCAAAGTTGATTCGTCGGACCACAGGACAGTTTTCCACTTTGCCTCAGTCTATTTTAAATGAGCTCGGGCTCAGAGAAGGCAGTAGTATTTCTGGATACTGTTTATATATGGTTTCTTCTTTGAATGGTAGAGTTTTAACTCACATTCATGAATGCAGCAACAATCTGTGTTCACAGACAATGGTTTTCAAAGTGTTTCTGAGCCAAAGTAGTGTGCAATGAAAATCAGTCATATTTGTTTTTAATGCAGTGCTGCCTAACGGCCTGATGATCACGGCTAACCAACACTGGTTTTCGGCCTTGTCCTTTGCATACAGAGATTTCTCAGAATTTTTAATCTTTTAATTATATTTTGTACTGGGAAACATTGTTCTTTCGCACTATTTGCCTGCACAATCTTTTACAGAATAGTAAGGCCCTCCTCATCTTTACTTCTGAAAGTAAATATCCAGTCATGTTACTGACCTGTTGCCACAGGGTGTTCCCCCAGCATTACACAACTTTACCAGTCTTTTGTTGCCCCTGTCCCAACTTTTTCGAAATGTGTTGGTGGCATCAAATTCAAAAATGGGCATATACTTTTCAGAAAACAATAATTTCTCAGTTTCAACATCTGATATGTTATCTTTGTACTATTTTCAATTAAATGCAGGGTTTGAATGATTTGCATATTACAGCATTCTGTTTTTATTTCCATTTTGCACAGCGTCCGTTTAAAAAAACGGAGTTGTAAAATTTCTGGGTTTTTTTTCTTTCCTGCAAATATAAGCACATCTCTTCAGAAAAATTAATTTAGTCATAAAACAAAAGCTAGCCAATATCATCATCATCATCATCACCACTATGACTAGTGCTAGTACTACTACTATTACTACAATAACCTACGTATTATTAATGGTTTATTTAAATAATGTAACTGTTATGCTTTTGTCTGTTTAACTTATAGTAATCTAAGTTCAATCACACTCAGATTTCCATCTGAGGGAAAAAAAAAAAAATGTCCCATGAAACTGAAACCATATTGTCTCTATTCTTCACTGTAGCGTACTGTGTATAAAGCATTACATAGTGCTTTTAAAAAAGTAAATGACGTATGAACATTCAGACAAATGTTGATACAACACGTCATTCACACTGCAATAATCTGTCATAGAACAATAATGGAATATAGTGACTAGTTATTGCAATCTAACCTTGGCCAGCTGAATGAGGGTATCCAGTACGTGACGACAGACGACAGGGGCAGCTTGCGGGTGGATGTGAACCGTAGATCCTCCACCTGAGCAGCCAACTCCTCCAGCTCCTGACACTCCACTACCGAGGCCTGCCGAGCCCATGGCACCACCTGTTGAGTGCCTGTCTGCATGTTTGCGGCCTGATGCCCGCTGGATCTGGAAAATGTTGGTCCTACAGCCCAGTGCCGCATCCATGGACACAGAGAGCCATGAGAGCTGGCTGGAGCTGCGAGATTCCACTCTATTCAGAAGCTCAAGGGAGGAGGAGGATGAGGAAGAGGCCATGGAGGCCTGTGAAGAAGAGGAGGAGCTCTTGCTTCCGCCGGATGACCCTTGGCCCTGTGCACGCTTGCCTCTTGCCTCATCTAGCCGGGCCGTCTCCAGGCAGAGCTCGCTCTCGCTGCTGCGCTGGAGGATGGAAAGCAGGCTGCGGATCACCCAGCCACGTGTCTGTGAATGGTAGCACAGGTTCCGCAGCACACGATGTAGTCTGCTGGTGTTCAGCTTAGGTTCGTCCACAAACAGCAGCACCAGGAGACAAGACAGTGCCTCATGGTCCAAGAGGAGACGTCCTCTAAGCCGCAAGAGGGAGTCCACATTGGAGCTGGAGGGGCTACACATACAACACCCAAAAATTAGGGATAGTTAAGCTGCTGGGATAGGCAAGATGACTAACTTCTTGACAAAGGCTGAACATTTTTGAACCATTGAACCATTTTTGCAATTATAAAATGTTAAATAATATTAAAACAACAACAAACAACATTTCTATGAAACAGATATCTATATCTTGTGAAGACGTTTGTGAGCTGCTAGAATATAAGGTAACTGCAAAAACTGCTTGGCTTATCTGATTTATCTTAAATCTCTGATTTAACGTACTACCACTTGACCAACAGAACAAGAACTGAGTTCAAAATTTGCACTGTACAGACTTGTCAAATTTTGTTTGCAATATTTGTACATGTTTGGATCTTAACACCTAACATTAGGCATGATATTTAGTGCTTGTCTTCTGACAGTCTTTGGACTTCTATGTTGTCAAAAACCTATTCACAAATTATGTATGGCATGATGTATATACTTTAATATGCTTTATTATCCAAGCTACGTCTTATTGGAATACTCGAGAAATAAACAAATAGTAAAAGGTGGTTAAAAAACGCCCACCCTCATTCATACCAACTCATCCAAAACCACTTTGTTCCAACTATCTTTTCTAAACACTGACCGGCTGTGGTTGGCGCTGCCCCCCATTTGGAAGGTTCCTCCTCTTTGCACAGCCAAGCGTGAGTACTGCACACCTCGGTTGCCCCCCAGACGGCTAGTGAAGGCAGGAGAACGCAGAATTGCAGAGAGCGCAGAAGAGGAGCTGTGTCCAAAGAGTCGTTCGTGCATCAGCTGCCTCTGCCGGGCCTCCTGCTCTCTGCGCAGTGCTGCAGCTTCAGCCGCAATGTCCGGGGGCATTACTGCCAGCACGCTGTCTTCCATGTCTTCCAGAACAGAGCGCCGCAACTCAGATGGTAGCGTCTGGATGAAAGTGACAGGGTCCAGAGGCTGGTCTCCTTGAGGGGGCTGCTGGGATAGTTCTCGCCGCTGCTGCTCGGCTCGCTGCTGAGCTAGCACCTGAGCAGACAAAAGGGGACTTTGCTCAGTCATAGATACATAACCCATCTTGGCCCTCAGCCAAGCTTCACGCATGTGAAGGGTATTCTAGACCAGGGCTGGGATCCACTGTGTTACATAATATCCTCAAAACAGAATGTCATTCTTAACAGGTTAATCTGTGCAGGATTTCTCACCTCCTCCTGAATGGCTGGTGGTAGTGCCGCCAGAAATTCAGGGCTGACCTCAGTGACCCCAGGGCCTCCCCCCAACACAGGAGCCGCTGCAGAGGACACTGTGGAGGTTACGGAGGGGCGAGAGGGGGGTCTGATCCCTAACTGGTTCTGCAGCACCTCCCGACGGATGTCCTCAGGCAAAGCAGCCAGGAAAGACGGATCTACACCTTCTGGCAGACTGATGCCTATAGGCACAGAGACAAATTAGAAATGTGTTAGAGAGAGAACGGATGCTGTAGTGGCAGAGTACGATTCATAATACAGCCGATGCTACCTGTTAGACACTCACCAGCAAGCGGGTCATCCTCCTCGTTGCTGGTGGATGGGAGTGGCTCCTCCTGGATAGCTTGAGACTGGCTGTCCGCACTATCACTCCGTGGCATGGTCTCACCAGGGGAGGACACAGAGGTGGACCTAAGAGCGTCAGAAGGTGCCAGACTCATCTCAGCAAGACATAACGGTTGCAAAACTAACAATTTAAACTGAAGCAAATAACTTCACCACCTAAACCTAGTCAAAAAATGAACATAACATTTTAAAACCTCAACAAAGCAAAAACAACATTTTCAGTAGCTGCTCCTTCTTCTCAATTTTAAACATGCCATTTCTACCAAAGTTTAAATCCAGAATGTGTCCACAATGGTTTCATTTTAACCAACTGAGATTCTGAAGTAAAAAAATGTGTTGGGGAAAGTACCTTGCACATGGTTTTGGTAGCATGTCACTCAGGACAAACAGCAAAAAAACAGACTAAAATAGCCACATGCTCACATTTGACAGGTCAGAAACACAAGTGTGGCTGATATTACAAGCCTATTTAAAGTGTAGACAATCGCTTTATTTTCTAAAAAACGTGTCTGGTTGCTGCACATTTTGCACAACAGCAGAGTAAACAGAACATAAAAATAGACATTTTCAGATGTTTTAGGATTTCTTTTTTATATCTATTTTAATTTTTTCTATTTGATTTTTTTTTTTTTAGGATCCATGGGAACCCTGATATAGGACTCTCACCCTGTATCTGCATCTGTCTGCCTATCAGTGAGGCCACTGTCACCACTTCCTGATAGCTCTTGAGACATGTGATTAGGCTGTGCTGAGTTAGGGGCAGGTTCCTCCTGTGTTGCAGAGGCAGGGCTACTGGTATCCATAGGTGACCCCTCTAGTTGTGACACACCCACTGGCACAGGCTCAGAACTCTCTGCTATATCTGGGCTGAGAGAGGCTGAGAAAGAGGACCAGAGAGTGTTCAATAAAGAGACACTTAAGACATGCAGAACAGGTACACACTAAAGCATATTACAAAAATAATACATGCAGTAGTTGCATGTAGAATGCAGTGGGATATAAATGTATGTCCTCGTAAAGCACTATGGAGATGTCCGTAATGGACTAACGATTAAAGTTAAAACTATTAAGACTATTAAGCCTAACAATAAAAGTTTTAAAGGAAAATCCACACGATTTCCAACTTGACCACAAAGTAAAATGTTTTCATAGTTTTTAAAAGTTAATCTACCTTCCCTGACTGCATCCAATGCTCCTCCTCCTCCTCCTCTCTCACCAATAGTGGGGGCAGGAGACATTTCCATCTGGGAGGCTTCCGCTTCACAATTCGGCCGATCGGGTGCTGAGAGCTGAGGTACAGCCCCTGCCAGCGTTGCAAGTGAATCAGCATGTGAGTCAGCCAGCAGCAGCTCTGCAATTGGCTGATGCACTTGCTGATTGATTGCTGTCTCCAGTGAGACAAGGGCCTGCTCATGTGGGGCAGTGGGGGTAACCTCTCCTGAAGGGGGTGCTGTGAGAAAGCCCTCAGAGGCACGGGGAGGGTCAAGACAGGAAGACACGCCAACCTGGGCCTGCTCTCCTTCTGCTTATAGAAACAAAACAACATAAGAGTGTAACATTCAGAGATGAGATTTTATTCACATGCAATGATAACTTTTATATTTGATAAATGGCAAACATATAGATTGTGGCTCAAGGGCTGCAATGTGGAAGGCAGTAAGTTGTATAGTTATCTCCTTCGAGGGCCACACTATCCTGATCCCCAACAACAACACAACTTACTACCTCACCACAGCACAGCCATTACCTGTCCCTACTGGTTTAAACAGCCAGGCATGAGATTAATCAAAGAATACACAATCAACAGCAGTAATACAGGTCGAGTATAAAAATCAGCCAGAGACAACAATTTAAAATGCAATATACTTATATTTATCTCTTGCATAGTTGTAAGTCTTGTCTAGCACAAATTAAAAAGAAATCGAAAAAAATCTTTCTCCAGGGGAAGTCATCCTGCTGTCATGCGGCTGCCGTGGGAAAGACAGTAGACTGTATAGTTATCTCCCAGATCTGGTGTGATCCTAAAACTATACAAACTACTACCTCAGCCCACAGCACGCAATAGAACACTCTCCAGGCACGCAGATCCATCATATCATCACTTCAAAGTTGCAAGTAGGCTAAATCAGTGGTGTTTCAGGCAGAAAAGACTTCGTGAGGTCAAAAGAACAGAAGAGTAAACAAGACACGGTATAAAACAGGAACAGTTTAGTGGGGAAACCTCATTTACATACATGAGCAGAAAAAGAAGAGTAACTGCAGTACCTGCTGAGTTATCTCCACCTCCGTTGACAGTTCCTATTGCAGTGCCCTGCCGGAGACAAAGAGAGCAAAATGTAATTCAGCCAGCCTCAAGTTGTAATGTTCATTACATGAGAGCACAGGAGTGTCTGGGCCTGGGCGTCATCCATCTACTTTAACACTGTAGACCATACTCTGTCTGTCCCTATAAGAGCCCGTCTACCTCTCAGCCCACACCGCCCTCTTTTGTCCCCCTCAGTCTCCATACCTGCAGCGTCTGCTCCCTGTTCTCCTCTCCAGCAGAAGTGCTTCTCTCATTCTGCTTGGCCTCTTCCTCCTCCGCAAGTTGCCTCCTTCTCTTCTCCCTGCGCTCCTCCAGCTCCTCATCACGCAGGCTCTCCAAGTGCTGCAAAATGGGCACCTTAACCACTGACACACATAAAAAGTGTCAAGTTAGATACTGTTTGAGATAGACAGATACTGTAATGAGAGAGATACAGCATACAAACTGTTTCACAAATCATAGCAAAAATATTTTCTTTCATTGCTGCAACTAAAACAGCATCTGAAGGTCTGGTTGGAAGCCCTACCTGCAACACAATCATGCATGCTCTCTGCATCCAAAACTTTACACTCATCTGTCCATCTAGTTAAGGCTGTAGGAATACTTGAAAGGGTGCCTGCAAACAAAAAGAAAAACGGGAAAAAAGTGAGACATTTATGTTCCGTCTTGAAGAGATGCAGCATTTTAAGTCCACAGCAGATGCTCTCCTGCTCCGACTCACCAGCCTGACCTCCACTGCTGCTCTGCTCGTGGAAGAAGTCATCCAGAAGCTCATCGTCAGAGCGAGCTATAATGTGCACATCTTCATTGCCAACGAGGAGCCGGGCACGGCCACGAGACTGTAATGGTAGGGAGCTGGACAGCTGCAGGATGTCTGCTGCTGCACTGGGGCCTAGTAGCCTGAGCAGAAACAACCAAAGACTTATTCAGAACTATTTCAGAAGAATATATTTCATATATATACACACACACACACACACACACACACATACATACATACATACACTATATATATATATATATATATATATATATATATATATATATATATATATATATATATATACACATACACACACACACACACGTGTGTGTGTATAAAAATCTTTTTTTTGGTTTACATTTGCCCTTCCTTCAAATCCAGCAAATCACACCACACAGTGTTGCTAATAAAGAAAACTCCTGTGCTCAACAACAACAACAACAACAACAACAACAACAGTTTTACTGTCCAGGTCCAACTGTCACATCACACACAACAAGGAGAGCTGCCCTACCTCTGAAGAATGAGTGGGGGGTTGGGCTGGCGGTTGCCTGGGTAGTGCACATGGATGGTGTGGCCAGTGTTAGCTGTAAGCTGGCGGAGTGTGCGCTGGCTGCGGCCCATGCCCTGAGCCAGCCGGCTGCTGGTGCTGGCTCCTCCCAGGGTGAGAGAACCGTGGTCAGCGTGTCGCACCATTAGAGGGTGGGAGCTAGGGATGTTTCCTGGAGAGGGAGGGATGTCAGCTGAAAGAACACAGTGAGAACAGGCACATTACAAAACATTTTTTTAAGGGCCCAATTCCCACAATGGGCAACCAATAACAAAAATTTACTAACAATGGCTTATAAATTTTTATCATCATATTGATGAATATACTTACCAGAATTTGAGAACATATTGTCAAATTCTATAATGAGGTCCTCATCTCTATCAAATCTCTCAAATCGTATGTGTGGGGCAGCATTAATATCAGGGAAATCCTCATCCAATTCCATCTCTGAGCCCTCATCATCATCATCCTCATCCCCCTCTTCATCATCCTAAATATAAGCAAGAGAAGAGATTTGGAGCAAGCAAAACAAACAAAAATCAACAAATACAACAACAAAAGAAATGATACAACTTCACCATGTTTAACACGTCAATTTCTTACCTGATCTTCTTCCTCCTCTTCCTCCTCTTCCTCTTCCTCGTCCTGGCTGTCTTCGTCCTCGTTACTGCCACTGGAATCCTCCTCTTGAGTGTGCTCCTCATCCTCTGGCTCCAGGATGTTCATAGAATCTAAACGGAGGAAGACATACAGAAATGAGCAATTGTTGGAACTGCCAAATTCTGGTGCCACTACATCCAAACTGTGAGCACAATCTGAGTATAACAATCATGTATATACATCAAAGAAGTCACTGAGGTGAATCAGTGTTAAAAATCTGTCCAACCTTCTCTGTTGGCCTGCAAAGTGGAAGCTTGACTCATGTTGGAAGGAGCTTCATCCATTAACACATCCTCTTGAGATTCATCTTCTCCTGAACGTCCAACTGTGGAGAAAGCAAACACCCATTTAGCAATAGCTACGCATCTACACTGGTTAGTCTGATCCACCCTCTCTCTTCTGGGGAGCTTACCGATGATGGTACTATTGACTGTTCCAGCATCTCTTTCTAAAAGTTCATCTATCAAATCCACCAACTCATTCTCCACCTACAAAAATGAACAATAAACCATGCTGTGAGCCAAACAGCAGTAGGTATCTCACTGTAACAAGCAGAATGAATTTTTATCAGCAGCTGCCATAAGATCTGGTCTAAGGCTACATAATAAAACATTGTTACCTGCATAGCCTGTGTGCTGAGCACCTCTGGCTGGCCAGCAATGACCACTGTGTCCCCTTCCGCCTCTCCATCCATCAGATCACCATCTGTGCCCTGGCCCCGGTGACGATTCTCAACAGGCTCTGCCTCACCTGCCTCTCCTGAGACAGACAATGCAAGTCATTACACACTCTTCTTTCACCCCTAGCAGCCCTAAACCCCTGCTTTCCTTTAAAGCTACAGAGCAACAGTTATACTTTGTTGATTCCTAACAACAAAAATTTCTAGATGTTAACCTGGTCATACAGCTGCAATATAAGCCAGCAGAAGTGCTACCTTGGTCCTGTGTGTTACTGTTGCTGTCCCTGGGGGTGCCCACAGTGTCATGTTCGGTCTTGTTCTTGCTAGACCCTCCTTTCCCCCCGAACAAGCTGCTGGGCTGGTTGACAATCCGTGACAGTGTCTCTAGAGGCTTAAGTGCAGCATTTACAGTGTTCGCCATGTTGGGACTGCAAGAAAGTCATGTAAACAACTGTCTAAGTGGAATAAACAAAAAAGGATGCATCTAAACCAGCATCAGAGTGTGCAAGCAAAGAAGAATGTACAGTATCCATATACATTCAATGAATGAGACAGTACCTTGACAAGTCAAGACTGTGGGGCACACGGGCAAGATCATTGACAAGGCCTTTCTTCAGGAAGAGACGGATGATGTTGTTCATGCCATTGTGCTGTGTCTTGGCAGTGGCTGTACTGTAGAAGCTGGAGGTGGAGGGGCATGACTCCATAATGGTGCTGATGATGCACATTACTGCCTGCAACCTAGAAGTGAAAAAGCAAGTCAAGTTACAATAAAGAAAGAAAGCTAGAATCTAATGGAGTGCTTCAGAGAAGAAAGAAAGGAGAAAAAAGGCAAGACTCAAGTTTTATTTATATGCATTTACCGAGCATGCTTCTCTGCGCCCTCTGCCATAGCCAGTGCCCGGCTCAGAGCGGCCTTCACCTCATTGACCAGGGCCACCTGGGCATCAGTTCCAGTGCCAGCAGCTGCCAGGCTGGCCAGGAAGAGGCGTGCCAGAGCAGGGGTGTCCTTGTCTTCTGAGTTCTGGGTGTGGGGGAGCAGGTGATCCAACACAAAGGCTAGCACACTGCAGTCCTACACACACACACACACACACACAAAAACACAAAGTTTAATAAAAAAAAAAGGCACATAGAAATGAGAATAAACACAAATATATGCAGATATTAAAATGCGCATGTGTTTAATATGCAAGGAAACAATTCACATAACTCTGGCAGTAATCCAGAGGTGCCCCTAACTGGCCCACCTCCTTAATGAGCTCCGACTGTCCAGCTGTGTAGCTGTAGGAGGCGATGAGTGTGGCGATGCCCACATAAGAGCGCACTAGCTCCGCCAGCAGCCGCAGGATAGTGGATGTTGGCATCAGGGGCTTGCTGGCCTTGGCCTTAGCTGCCCGGCTCTCCTCTGAGGAGGCCCCCCTTTCACCTTCTTGCTCCTTCTTCTCTTCCCGCATCTCCTCAGGGGTTGAGGCTAGAGAAGAGAGTGGGAAAAATGAGAAAGAGCGCAAGGAGACAAAAAAAACAAAAATGAGAGTTTTAAGGTTTGAGTCTGACACAGAGGGCAAGTATATTAAAATATTTTACTATTTTAGAGTATTATTTTGTGCATGTGTGGGAGGATGAAGTTCTCACCCTCGCCTTGAGGTGTTCCTGACTGGGAAGACTCTGCAACAGCACCATCTGCAGCAAACACCTGAGTCTGAGGAAACAGCATTTTCATTTAAAAGATGGTCAACAACAGCAGAATTTTTTGTATTCTGAGGTCACAGCATAATCCCTTAATCCATATGCAATAAATCAACGTTCAGAACGGTAAACCACATGTTCTGAATCCTCTAAATTTCCTGTGCTACCATATAAACTCACATTTATGTGGAAGGCAGACTGCGAGTCAAAGTCGCTTCCTTGGCGTGTGAGTCTGTACTGTTGGTAGACATCATCCCCAACATCCTGCAGGATCTGACACAGATCCTGACTGCCAGGCACTGCCACCAGACGCTCCTCTCCCCTCTCTGCTGCGCGCAGGCATGCACACAGAAGAGAAAGGACAGAAAGGGAAGACAAAGAGACAAAAATAAAGAAAAACCGTTAATCACAAATTCTGTCAGCATCCCAAAAGAAACCCTCCTCATATGACTAGGCATCCATGATCTTACCTTCCTCAGGAGCATGGTAAGCTGCTAGGGCATTCAGCATGTCATATATGACCTCTTTAATGGTGTCTGGGATAGGTGGCAGCGGAGACAGCTTCAGAGGCGTAGTCTTCACCAACTGCACTGCATTTGGACCCTTGATTCTGAAGTTCTCAAACTCATCATCGGAAGCTAGAGGATGGATTATATGAAAATATATAAAATATTCTCCTAAATTGTTTCCCTTATGAGAGGAAAAATAAATAAATAAATAAAATGATCCAATACCTGTTCCAGCACCTCTTGGGGCTGGCAGGGCGATCCGGACGCAGCTGTTGGCAGTTTCTGTAAAGCACTCAGGATTACGACAGGCCGCTGGGCCCAGCACACGCAGAATGTAGTTGATCTCACGTGAGCCCAGACTACCTGACACCACACCTGAAGTTGTACTACCTGCCCCACTGGTAACCGCAGACCGCACCACCTGATACAGAAAGAATACAAAGCGGTAAAAAATAAATAAGAGACAGCTCAGTTTTTGTCAATAGTGACACTAATGAAAAGCAGAATCGCATAACTAGAGGGAAAAAAAAAAAATTCGCAAATTATATATCTCAAATGGGCAAATGAGCCAGGCACCTTCTCCATGGTATGGCGCAGCGTGGCTGGGTCCTCAATGATGTGGCGGAAGAGCAGAGTGATGAGTGGTGTAAAGCCATTGAAGCCAGAACTCTGCGTGAGGCCCAGGATCATGCGTGTGCTCTTGAGCTCGGCGAACATCATGGCATAGTGGTGTGCGCGTGTAAGGCGCAGGCACAGACGCAACGTGGCGTGCAGCGTGTCCGGGTCCACAGGGACACTGATCATGCTAACGCATGCACGGATCAGAACTGTAGTCATTTCCTCCGACAGGCCCTGCACTACAATGCCACCAGAGCCAGAGGACGAGTCCTGAGAAGCAGCAGAGAGGGTGGGGGCAGATGAGGAAGACTCCTTCTGGTCTGCCTCTTCTTTAGGGGGAGCCATCTCCACAGTAACAGATGCAGTGTCTGTGAGGAAAATGGAAGAGATTTGTTTTTGCTTACTTCACCATGACTGCGGGTGGAAAAGAAGTTAAGTAATAAATAACCCTAAAGCTTCAACAGCAAAAACTGAGCTTTGTTATGAGAGGTAAAAAAGGCAGAAGTGTAGTGCTCGTCTTCACCTGTGTCAGTCTGGGTCTCCTCAGTCTTGGCTCTCTGCTCCCCTTCCTCTCGCTCAGTCTCAGCTGCGCTGCCGGATTTGGTGGGCTTGGGCGTGCGTGGCACTCTCTGCACAGTCAACATCACAGGCCTCCTGTTCCCAGTCTCCTCATTCACCTGTATGACACAGGGGGCAAAAAGAGAAAGGCAGAGGACATTAGCTTTAAAATCAGGAAAGGATGGAAGGCAACAACACTTATAGGAGCTGACAATGACTGCATTCATGTTTCATACTGTGATGACTATAAATGTAAAGTGTTTCAGAGCTGAGCAGGCTTCATAAAATGTTTGTTTACAGAGATCACACAGATTTACTAATCTTTAAGCAATGCCCACCAGGGGTTGCAAACACACACACATCCACTCTGTAAATGTTTCAGCAGCAGGCACAAACTGAAGATGAAAATTTTGGTAACAGGCCTAAAGGCAAATCAGCTCCGTTAATATCCCCAATATCTGATCTATGGTTACCTGCACCATGGTGTTGAACTGTACAGTGTATCTCCTCCGCCCTGCAGTGAAGCGGACGCTGGTCTCTCCTGCCCTCCAGGCAGAGTCTATTGTGCTGTTATTACTAGCACTGTAGCTGCACCAGCGGCCCGAACGGTCATCAAACCAGCGCCAATTATTCCCATTAGGCTGCAGGTACTGATGAGGGTGAAAAAAAAAAACATTTCAACGTAAATTTACAATGTTAACGCCATTTAAATACTTTGAAATCAACTGCCATTTTGTTCGTACAAACCTTGTTCATTTGGGCTCTTCGTTTGGAGGAGACAGCCATTTTCTCATAAAAGTCAATGAGCAGGAGCACTGGAGTGATCCATCTACACAAAGAAGAAAATGGTAAAATTCCATCTAGTCAATATTCACATACTGAAATAAAACTAAAGAGGAAAACAACATGTGTAGTTATTGCTTCTTTAGCTATAAAGGCCTGAGCTGGCAGTATGTCTCTTTCTCTGTGACCAGTCTTTGCCACAGGCACATTGCGGCTGGCACTCACTTGGGTGTTTGAATGTCTTTCTGCTCCTTGGCAGCTTGCAGACAAGGCTGAACCACCTCCAGAAGCTTAATCAGCACAGTCAGAACACCACTGCTCTCCACAATCCGCGCACACGATAGCTTCAGCTCCTGCAACACGCACAATAAAAAAAAATTAAAAAAAAGTTTGATGCAGTGCACCCGAACAGTGGGAGGTAACGTGTATGTATTTATGTGACTGTGTGAGACCGCAGCATGAATGTTTATAGTGAAACATAGTGAGCTCTTGTCCATTCTGCCAGATGCTTATTTAGACTAGGCAATAGGATGGGGGGGGTATTGATCCTTAGATGCATCGCGATGCGGATGTGGACGATTCTGAATCGATTCACAAGTGTCAAAAATTGATTTTTTACATTTTTAATTGATAAAGTAATGCTGATGGATCGCAAAAGACGGAACTTGGAATTGCGAAAGTGCAGCGCCCGGACAGTCTGTGGCGGCACATAACGAAAGTACAAATGGATGAGCAAGAAAACCGACTGGCATCCTCTGCATTCAAAGCTAGGTTACGTCAGGAGTCGACAACCCAAATAGTAAGAAGAGCGATTTTGTCCTTTTAACTAAAAACAAACCACCGTGGAAGTCACAACATTCAGTGTCCAATATGTCTCAGTATGTGCTAATGTACTAGTACAGGCTAAAAAATATAAAGATTCACTTTGCTCTGCTTTAAGCTTCAGCTATAGCCGCTTTCCTCCCCATCATCGGCAGGAAACTTTTCCTCAAAAGTTGGACAGTTTCTTGTGAAATGTCTCTCAGCGTTCAACTATTATTTTACGAGGCTGAAGTCAGCTTCTTATTTGAATTTACCCGTTCCTCCTCAAATTCTGCCTGAGGTGCCAGGATGTAAATGCGGCACCATTTAAGGTGGAACGGAGAAAACCGAAAGAGAAGCTGACTTCAGCTGCACAACTTTTTAGCGTTTAACAGTTTCTCATTGCGGATTTTATGCATCAGGAAACCAACTGCAGTGCACATAAATGCAAATCAATACATTCGTCTCCAAATGCTCGTCTTAAATCTTTCTCCTTGCCTTTTTGTTAGCTACTAGCTAGGCGAGACTGTCTGCGTTGCTAGCTACGTGACCTGCAGTCAGCATGCCATCCTTCACGGTTATAGAGGGGGGGGGGTCTTTTCTTAGATGCATCGCGATGAGGACATGGACGATTCTGTATCGATTCAAAAAATGTCAACGATTTTCTTAATTTTAATTAATAACGTAATGTTGACGGAACGCAAAAAGCGGAACTTTGCAAAGTGTGGAAGTGCAGCGCCCGGACAGTCTGAGTGCAGGGGTCAACAACCCAAATGTCATTTTGTCTTTTCAACAAAAATCAAACCACCTTGGGAGCCACAACATTTTGACTCCATTTTACCATCTTGGCTGTACATATGTCTCAGTACGAGCTAACGTAATACAGACAAAAACGCAGACTTAGTGTGCTCTGCTTTAAGCTTTAGCTCAGCTGTAGCTGCTTTTCTTGCATCACCCGCAGGAAACTTTTCCACAAAAGTAGAATAGTTTCTTGTAAAAATGTCTCTCAATGTTCTACTTCTTACGAGGCTGAAGTCAGTTTCTCATTCTCCAGCTTCTCGTTCAAATTTTCCCATTCCACCTTAAATGGTGCCTGAGGCACCAGAACGGACCTGCTGCACCATTTAAGGTGGAACGGGAAATTTCGAAACAAGATCCTGGAGAATGAGAAATCATACTGCATGTTTCCACCCATTTTCCGTCCGGTTGTACTTGCCGCCAACCAAAGGACCATCGAGCAAGCGATGTCAAAGCTTTCACCCAAATTGGAAGCGAACTACAAACTCTATCGCAACTTTTATTGCCGAGGGTTCGCGTCCGTTATCAGTCAATGAGACCCAGGGCTTTTGTGCTATGTTGTACACATTGGAGCCGAGATACAGCGGCCCGTCTAGAAGTTATTTTACTGCCACAGCGACCCCCGACCCCCACTCTCTACAAGACTAAAACTGAAGTTATGGAATCACTAAAGAAAATGGGTAGAATAGCTGTAATCTGTATCCATTGCCACAGAATTTTTTTTTTTCACAGTAACTGCGCATTTTATCACAGATGAGTGGCAGCCTGCGTCTCATGCACTCCAAACAAGAGCAGTGAATGAGAGCCTTACAGTTGACTTGCCACATCGTTTCCATTTGTTTTATTAATAAAAGATATTGGAAGTAAATTTACTATGGATAATTACAAATATTTTGCTTTGAACTACCAAGTCGTCACACAGTGAGAAAAAAGAAAAAGAAAAAAGTTGCATCAAGATGCATCGATATTCATTTTATAATTGCATCGCAGCCCTCTGAATCGTAATCGAATCGAATCGAATCATGAGGTGCCTAGACATTCCCACCCCTACTACGGATGCCTAGAATATGCAGCAATACATACCTCAAACAGCAAAGTCAATAGCAGAATGCGGGTAGCCAAGGTGGAGGCCTGGGGCAGGGTCACCATCTGCCTCGTCCACTCAGACACAGTTTTAGTGTCACTTGTTGTAAGTGGCACGGCAGCTTTTATCAGCACATCAGCAGCATCCCACACCTACAACATATACATACAGGACATGAGAACATAGTCCAACTCACACAAGAAAGCAATGTCTATAATTATTAACTACAGCCTACATCAGTACACCAAGGGAGCATTATGTGTTTCAGTAAACGCTCCTTTTAAAGTTGATGCAAAAATTTCCTGTTTTTGCTTTTACTAATTTACAATTACTCATTTTCGTTAATAATGAAATTTCAGAATGCTGTTGCATTTTTTTACATGTAAATAAAACCATGGTCGAACAGCTAAAAATGCATAGATTTTCATTCAGTTTGTGTCACAAAACTAGATTAAAGATAGAGAGGGGAACAACAACTCACCTGGTTCACAACCTGGCGGAGGATTAGGTCTCGGTACTCAGGGCCATTTCTCTTGATAGCGGTCATGAGCAGGTCACAGAGGCGGTAAACTGTGTCAGGCAACTCATCTAGCAGATGGAAGCAACCTGGCAGCATGGTGTCAGTGAAGGCATGGAGCTCGGCATTGTCCAGGGGTTCAGCCTCCAGAAAACGCTCCAAACAGCGAGCCTCCTCTTCTTCGGCTCTCTCTCGCGCTCTTCTCTCCTCCTCCTCACGCCTGCGTGCAGCCTCCTGATAACACAAAAACAAAGCAACAGGATTACCCATGAGACAAGACTGCATTTCTCCTAACAGCCATAAAATTGTTGACACAGGTTACATATCACTATGAAATGTGTGTTCATGTGTGTTTCTGAGGCATGTGCACCCGTTATATTATAGAATGTAGACCCCAATTGTAAAATATGTAACAACTATCTAAAAAAAACCTATTTGGAATCTAGAATGTTAAATAAACAAGTATAGCTCAGTTTTAGTGTGTATGCACACATGCATGTCTGTATGTCTATCTGCCCACCTCAGGAGAGTCTGAGCGTTGCTCCATGCTGACTTCTTGACCCAGAGACATGGCGATGGCCCTCATCATCTGGTCCTCTTCAGACATGGTGAATTCCTACAGTGACACAACCCACAGTGACTAATTTTAACCTTACATGCATGTGTATATGTACCTATGCTTGTCTGTGTGAAACAACTGCAAACTATTAGTAAAACTGTGTGATGGTGTCTTACCCTAACAGCAGCACTGAGGAGTGGTGGTGGGTGGGTAAGCAGGTACTCTGTGGCCTGCTCCATGGTGGTGGTGTTGAGCAATGCCTCCATGGCATGTTCTCTGGAGAAGCCCATGTCCATTAGCTGGACAGAGGACAGACAGTCAGAACTTTGAGAAATATCCTACACTAGCTAAGGCTTTGCTCACACAGCAGGTAAAAGTGGCCCAAATCTGATTTTTTCATATATGACACAGACGTGTCATCGGTGTGGCAGTGTCAACAGCAAAAACTTTGAATTGAAAGCATTGAATCTGACATTTTTAATTCCGATTTGAGACTCTTTCACATGTGGGAGTCTGAACAGCCAGATCAGAATTCATGCGATTTTTGCGTCAATACTACTCAACATTCATCATAATTCCACGCTGCTGAGACATAAAACATCTGGGGAGATATTTCTGTACAAAAAATTAGAAGAAACTTACAAAACCCTCCATGTTTGAAGAGATTCCAAAAAAAAAAACGGCTGAACGTGGCCATAGGGAACGAGGCTGCAGCGTCAAAGAACGGTTAAAAATCTGAAAGCTTTCTGAAAGTTCAAAGAACCTGAGGACACAAACCAAAGAAGTGACCGCGTCCTTTTGACGGCGAGCTCGAACACATTCTGGGTGATGAGCCTAGCTGTCAGTCGATGAAGCTGGCCTAGATGAAGCTGAAAGCTCGAGAGCAACTGGTGTTCTTGCATAGTTATGATTGTTTACCTCTGGAGGAGCGGTCCACATGAAGTATTGTTCTTTTGCGCATGCAGGTCAGTTTAGAAATGTGATCTGTTCAGACTGATGTCGCATACAGGTCACATGTAAAAGATATTGTAAGCAGCCGAATAAAAAAACAAAACAAAAAAAAAAATTCAGATTTGGGCCTCTTTGCCTGCTGTATAAACGCAGCCTAAAAGAACTGTATCCCAAATGATAACTACTAAGCACAAAAGGAACCTATATGATCCTTACCTGTGTGAGCTGAGCCTGGTTGACTTGAGGTTCCCTACGGGGTGTGGCGTTGCTCCCTTCCTCTGCTGAGCCACCAGCTGTGCTGGCACTGCCTGCTCCTGCCCCGGCAGCACCCTCTCCCACTGCTCCACCAGTTCCTGGGTCGGCACTGGCCGCAGCAGTCCCAGAAGTGCCACCATCCTCATCAGAGCGAGATGAGCCTTCCCTCTCCTTGGCCAGTCGCTCCTGGATGATTGGCTCACCACGCAGGATGTGGCAAAGGATGGCAAGCATGGACTCTGCCATGCGTCCACCGTAGACCTTCAGAGGCTTACGGTTCCACAGGTTGCGGATACAGTTAAATGCAGCCTGAGTGTAAAAAAACAGTTAAACAATAAACAGCAAGTTATAATACTAACTGTCCTGTGTATTGCCATTATGTGTGCTTATCAGTGATTTACATCTGACTTCACAATAATTCAACGATGATCCTTTTGAAAACTATTTAATGCATTATAAAATCTCACATTATCACAATTTCATCAATTTATTTTACAATATGATTCAGATTTTTAAAAAAAAGTAAATACTGTAAAAGAAAAGTTTCGCCATACAGTCCATTCCTACTTTAATGTATATTTTCTAATCCTTTCTAGCGTTTCAAAATCGATGCACTTAAATGCACTTTAGATTAATGAGTACTTTGTTCCAATGTATAATCACATTCGTATTTATGCAGTCATATGGAATAGTGTATTCTGACCTTCTGAGTGACGATGAGGAAACGCAGGGCGCTGAACTGTGGTGTGGTGGAGGGTGCTCCAGGCACTTTGGCGGGCAGAGAGTGGGGAGAGTCCAGCACTGTGCTGGGGTTCACCATCTTCTCCACCAGCATCAGCCAAGCATCAAGGAACTCACCAGTCCCATCAGGCAGCTCAGGGTGCTCCAGCCCTTCAGACACTGGCACCTTACCTCCCATTGACAGAGCCCAGTTAAACGTCCTGAGGAGTACAGTGGCAAAGAAGCAGGAAACAGATTAGATAATGATACCAATAACTGTGTGTCAAACAGTGCTGGGAAGAGCAGATATTTCATTACTCACTCAAACAGGGCATCGTGGCCTCCAGAGCAAAAGAATTTCTGCAGCATCAGGTGGTAGGGATACTTCCTCTCGTCAAACAGCATGGGTGAAGTGAAGCCCACAGAACAGATAAAGAACGTCAGCCTGATCAGAAGCGGACACACAAGTTTATTTACACATGCAAAACACCCACACATGTAATAGGAACATGGGACAGGTGAGGAGAGGCTGTGGATGGTGTACCTAAAGCGAGGAGTGGGAGTATATGGAGGCGGCTGCCAGCTCAGGCCCTTGGTTAGTAATTTGGTAAGGGAGGACGCGGTGGCACGTGCTGCAGGTGTGGGGGCGGTGCCCGTGCTGGTGGTGTGGTGGGAGCGCCGCTGACGAACAGGTGAACCCACACAAAGCTTCACCAGCAGGCCAAATAGCTCAGCCAACGCCCGACCCAAACGAGACGATGCTTAGGGGACAAGTACAGAAATTTAGGTTAGCAGTGTTTTACAAGCCTAAACACCCATACCAGTGATTACTATCTATGTCCATAAGCACCACTCTGTTAAAAAAACAAAGTTTGTTTTGTTACAGGCCTTCAACTGAGAAATAATAAAACTCAAACAGCAAAATAAAGCTTACATTATTATTTTTTAAAGCCACTTATTCAAAAACCAAAGAGCTGAATAAAAAACAGCCTGATAGTGATGTTGGGACTGACCAGAGAGCAAAGGTTTGATCTGTTTGATGCGCGTTGCCATGGCAGGAGTGAGTTTGGATTTAGCCTTCGGGTCAGTGGCTGAGGGCTCATCTGTCTCCATGGGAGCGAGGGAGTCTCCATCCAGGCCCATGCCCTCCAGTAGGCCCTGTGCAGACGGGTCCACCCCCACAGACAAAGTCTCTGCCTCGGCTGGAAATAACACCAGGGGAGAGACAAAACACATTGAAAAACAACATGAAAATAGGTTCCCAGAATGAAAACTGTGAAAAAGAAGTCATGAACAGGGCTTATGTCTATGTGTTCCATTTGAAACTGAAGTAAAAGGCCTTAGAAAAACATGGAAAAAAGTAGCACGCTTAAGATTAGAGGTAATTAAAATAAATATATTGATAAAAGACAAAAGAGGGGAGGTATTATGCAAAATCACCATGGTGCAGTGTTTTACCGGTTCTCCTGCCTCCACTGGCTGCAGTACTGCTGGATGGTTTTTCTTCCTTAGGCACTAGTTTCTGCATGTCAGCCTGGCCAAACTCACAGCCAGGAGGGAGACTGAAGAGCAAAACAAACAAACAAACAAACAAACAATTGAATACATGAAACTCCTCTACATGGCCTTGGGACAAAAGACTAGTTAAATCTTAAGGCCTCAAGCAGAGAAATTTTGCCATTTGAACACAAAAAAATTGGTCACAAAGCTAGACAGAAGGGATGTTGTCAAGAGAGAATTTCAGAGTCAAAACACTGTTTATTAAGCAAGTTATAGATCTTAAAAAATGAATTCTATACCAATTGTTAATCATAAAGACAAAGAAATTTTTTTTTGATAGTATGATAGTTTTCCTAAATCTGCCACACTCTGGTAAAGTGAGAAAGTTAGGCATCATTTCTTGATCTAACACAAAGATATCACAAGCACAAAGCTTGGCGTAGCATCTAATGTGTTGAGGTAGCAGACAATGGAGAGCTCAGGACTGTTGAGTGCAGTGGAAGCAAGTGTAAGGTGAGTTGAGTGTAGTGTTGACCTGTTGGGTGTGCAGAGGGACAGTAGCACAGTGCTCTCCCACACCAGGGAGCAGTAGAGCTGACTCAGCTTATTGAGCACACTCAGACCCAGCTGGGAGCCCCACTGGTTCACCGAGATGGCCCGTATCTCGCTCTGAGAGAACACAGAGGGAGAGAGGGAGAGGGAGAGAGCATTATAACTTATGCTCACTTCAAATGGAAAATTGACTAATTCTAACAAATAAGGTGACCATTTTTTTCTTTTAAGCTAAAACTCTCACCTGTCCAACTCTGCAAGTGTGGACGAACATGAGGATATACGCATGTGCAGCAGTGAGCGCATGCAGGAGAGGCGTGGCACGGGCAGACAGTGTGGCGTCTGTGACGTGGCCAGCATTGGCCAGTTCTCTCAGTAGAACTGAACCACCCGGCACCTCAATAGGCCGATGGAGTGGCTCCAGAGCTGAGAGAATGCTGTCCAACTGGCACAAGCCCTCCTGCAGAACCTTCGGTTCGTGGGATAGTGTCTAAGCCAGGAAAATGGTAGTTTAAAAGGTATTCTCTCAAATAAAATGAAAAGTCCCTCAGTCATCAAACAAAGTTCATTCTAACTATGTGACATTCAGAATACAAAAGATAAATCATGTGCAATATTGTGTGTCTCACCAAAATTGATTTGCATACGCCAGCTACAGCCTGGCAGGCGGCAGAGGTGGGAAAGTCAATGGGCAAGTTGGGAAGCCCTAAAATCGACACCAGGGGTAGGAGGCCTTTCTGGTTCACAAACTCCTGACAGTGGTCGTCTGTTGTATTATTACTCAAAATCGACTCCACAAATTTCATCTTGAAGTAAGAAACAGACAAAAACAAACAAAATCTTCATCAGAACATGGTACATTAACCTGAACCAGATGAATGGCATATCCTTTGGTAAATAATTGTATTTAGATTAATAAGCACTGCTCTCTGAGAAATAAATAAAATATTGCTTTAAGCTGCAGAGCATAATAAAAATGAGATGCAGGCCAAGGATGCTGAGCAGCCATTTCACAATTAGCTGAATCAGCACTTACCACATTGAGAATGTAATCCATAAGGGGAATGGGGATCCGCTCTTCTGTGCCAACCACTCTGCAAAAATACAGTCTGTTTACTCACCAAGGCAGTGTCTCACAAGCTCATTCAATTCAAACACACTCCCTTAGAATCAATGTAAGACAATATTTTCCTCCCAAGACATCTGCAATCAAACCACTCATTATATTAGAGCACTCACTGTCTGTTGCTCTCTGGTTCCCCCTGCTGCTGGCTGAATGTGTGCAGAGCCTCTTCTTCCTCTTCATCCTCACTGGAGGCTTCCTCCGCTGCATGGTTGGACCGAGCAGGAGGCACTGTGACAGTCCCATCTGCTTTCTGAATAGAAGGTTTCTGGCAGATGTACTCAGGAGCTCTGCCCAAGTTGCAGATCTCCTCCAACAACTGACAGGAAAGACATTACAGAAAATATCATGTAATTTAAGAAAATAACATTAAGGCAAAGTGCACAAGAGAAACACAAAATATCATTATCCACTCAACCTTAATGATAGCAGTTGTGGCATCAGTTTTCAGTGTAGGCTGGTGCCTCATGAGCTCATCCACAGCACTGCCCAAATTAGAGGCAGTGTCCCCTGCAACACAAACACATACAGTCTTCATCTCTGAACCACTGCTTTTTTTCAGTATCTTCATTAGTTTCAATTTATTTTGCTGTAGTAAAGTCACCCAAACCTAGTAAAAGTATTTCAATCACATTTCATTTAAATTACAATACAAGCAAAAAGTGTCTAGACTACTTATTCTAACTTACGGCTTCTTTCAGCGACATGTGGCAGCTCACCATAGTGGCACTTACCCAGGGGGTCAGAGCTGCGCCGGCGTCGCATGGCTGGCAGGTAGTCAGGTGACAGCAGTACCTTGAACAGGCGCTCAAAGGGCTGGCACTGGACGAATGAGTGCAAGCCACGGGCGTTTAGGCACAGGGCACTGAAGACATTGGGCAGGGAACCCAGCACCTCTCGGGTGGCAGGGACCTGCAGAGAGAGAGACTGTGAGAGAAGATCGGAGCGGAGTTGGGAAGGAACGAGTGAGAGAAAGGAGTCAGGGGAGACGCCAGAAACAAGACTGTCCAACACATGCTGTGTGAGCTGCTGAGAAAGTGAGAAAATGGGAAATTGCTGGCAAGTGAAGAGTGAATGAGGCTGGGAAAACAACATAAGCAAAAAAGGCTGTGGGGGGTGGGCACAACAATAACAACAAAGACAGTGGGATATCAAGAATGAAATGTGGGTGGTGTGACAAGATGTCTGTTTGACAACGACTCACTACATGAAGAACAAGTTCTGAATTACGGAATGTGTGGTAAATGAAAGTGAAAGGAGGAGCCAGCAGAGAATGAGGGTAGGAGAAAATTGAGAATGCAGACTCACATCTTTGATGAGCAGTGCATGTAGCATGACATCTGTGAGGCCATTGTCCTGCAGGGAGGAGAGCAGGGATGGCTCCTGGAACACAAACACTGTCACCACCTCCGTTGCTGTGAGAGTGAGAGTGAGAGAGCGAGAGTGAGAGAGCGAGACAGAGAGCGAGAGCGAGAGAGAGAGAGAGAGAGAGATATTTCATATACACCTTTTAGTGAGATTGTTAAACTTGTTCTTTCAGAGATGAGAGAAGTTTCCAGGAGGAAGACTGATAATACATTACCAACGGAGTGGTACAAGAGGAGTTTTCACAGGTTCTTACCTGAACGGGCTCTTTCTAGTTGCATTATTTTTAGGGATGCACAATTTCAAAAACAATAAATAAATAAAGTTAAAAATAAACTAAAATAAGACTTTCAGCATCAGACAGATGTTTAGATTTGATTAATATTTCGAAAAAAGTTATTTCATGATGCATTCATTGCACCGAGTGAATGTAAGAGCAGGACATTTCGGCATTAACATTACTGTTTGGAGGCTTTGCTGAAACGCCTGCGTTTTATTCACTGCATTTTTAGCCCTTTAAAAAAAGTTTGCTATTTCTCAGTAATGCTAACCAAGATCTAGTCTCACTTTTAAAAACATTTATTAGGCTCCGTAGAGGGGAAAAAAAGTCAAATACATCACTTCGTCTCCAATACTTGGTACTCTAATGCATCCTCTTGTCTTATTAACTGTACCCATCCTGTCAGGTAAGAATTACAACAATCTCTTGAAACTCCTGTCCATTTTAGTCTACTCTACACTGAGTTTGCGCTTCATGACTAAGCAGAACACAACACTGACAATCCCGCATTCCAGGATGACAACTGCAGGGTGTCTATACACAATTCAGCAGACATGATGGAACACCATCATTTTCATTACATTGTCAAACATTTCAAACGTTTATTTACAGCATTCAGCAGCTTCCCACTGGCTTCTATCAGGTAATTTAAGTAAACGGGTCTTTTTTTTTTTTTAAACCATGTCACAACATAGATGCAACAGATAGAGATTAGCCTAAAAATGCTGGAATATTCAATGGCAAATAATAAGTCTCAGACAAACATTAAACATGCAAAGCAGAGATTTCAGTCTACTTGTAACCATGTCATCTTTGCCATCGTTTGCCCTTGTCTGGTTAAGGTCCTTGAAGCCTGAGCTACACACAGCTGTGGACAGACAATGCGACTTTTTAACTGCACCAGCAATCCCCTTGCTCACTGTGCTCACCCAGGAGGAAGAGTGACGGTCCATAATACTCGGCATTACTGATGATGTGCTTCAGAGAGGTAGGAAGAGACCCATCCATCACTGCAGAGAGACAGTGAGGCATTAAACCCTTATAGGCAATAATGAAACACATAACTGAATTTAATTCTAAGCATGTTTGTCTTCTTACCATGGCGAATGCCATCTGAAAAGGCAGGGTCCTGAATGGCTTTCTTCAAAAAGTTCAACATGGATTTCAACAGAGCTGCCCTCTGAGGGATACACTGCACACCTGTAATTTACAGAGAAGAAAACACTCATCCATTATTGAGATGTTTGGGGCAAAAGACATCAGACTCAGCCCGCTGGGAAGTTTATTTGATTCACCTGCTCTGGGCGTGCTCACTGTGCTGGTCTGAGCACGAGGGTCTGCCTCTGCTCTGGAGCCTGCAGAGGTGGAGGGCCCTGGACTGCTCTCCATGGCAACCTCAGACACTGCAGGAACACCACCACTTAGAGCTGCATTTTATTATGAAAAATACACTACCTGATAGCAATGACTGCTGAGTCTATCAACCTTCTAACATAACAAGAAAAGGAACTGACTGTCCATGTCTGTGTCCATGTCCTCAGTTTCAGCAGCTGTGCTGGGCCTCTGGATCTTTGGCTTGATGACAAAAGGGCACTCTTTCCTGGACAGGTCCACCTCATGCTGCACAGAAACAAAGCAGTCATATGAGAGAGAAAGCACATTCCATTAACAAAGAGCTGAATGCTAGAACTGAATAAGCCAGAGCAGAGCACGAGACTATGCAGTACAGTGCTGTGTGGGTACCTCCAGTCTGCAGATGAAGATGGAAAGGCCGCTGTGGGACTGAAAGGCAGCCATGTCCAGATTGGTGATAAGGTCCACAACACGAACCGCCCGAGTCACAAAGGTGATCTGGTCTTGCTCATCCCCCAAGAACTTAATTACCTACAGAAAGAGACACAAAGCTCATAAGAATGCATGAAATAAAATAGCCATAAAGGGGCAGCAAAACAAAAACTACTTAAAATAAGGAGCAAGAGAATAAAAAAAAAAAAGAACACTACTAATAATAACACACAATAGTCATCATTAAACAGCTGCTAACAACAGGTCCAATCCACTACTTGTTATAATAATTGGCCTAAATGTGCCTATTGATGTTCTTTAACCTTAAAGGTGTTCTAGCATACAGAACCAACAATATACTCAGTAAAGTTCATTGTGATGAAATTTAGTACCATAACAACAACACACCTTCATACTGCCAACCCTGAGATGAGAGCAGGAAAGACAGAGAAAAGGAGAGATGGGAGCACAAACCTTCAACAAGGCCTCCATCATCCCACAAGAGACTAACGCCTCCCCACCAGCATCATAACTGGCCAAGTGGTACAGGAAAGAAAAGAGGGCTGTAGCAAATTGGTGCGGGTATGGCTCCATCAGTGGGTCTGTTTTGCAATAAAGACAGAACAAGATACAGATGTCAGATCCGACATTCTTGAACAACAACAGTGTATCTGACGATCACTGTATTTGATAGTGACAGTTATTGTAACCCTCACCAATCATGGCTTGTATGCAGTTGCGGACCAATACAGGCAAGAAGCCATGGTAGGAAGCTGTGCCAGTGCAATCGATGATATTTGAAAGCTTAGGAGTCCGCTCCAAGTGGACTATCGATGTCAAAGTGCGCAAGGAAGCAGCCTTTATGTCCTGTCATAAAGATCATGTATGCAAGTTCACCAAAATGAACACAGACCTCCTATAATTGTAACTGATCGGAAATTTATCACAAAAAATATTTATGACATTTAAGGCTCAAATCAAACATGCACTAGGATGACTTAAAATAAATAATAAAAAAAAATCTTTCCAATCATATTGGTGCAATGACTTAAGTAAGAATTGAGGACACCTGACACTTGTTTTAATGTAGCTGGGATATTACAATGCTGGGAGTCAGGGTCATATCTTACCACTAGCTGTTTATCTGTGATCTGCAGGACATCCACCAGCTCCTCTATCAGCCCGTTGTAGAGTATACTGTTGGCTGACTCCTGGAGGGCGTTTGAGTACACTACAGAAAAATCAGCACAAAACATCCATCTCAGCAGATGTAGAGTGTTGGTCTGGACATTGTTTGATGAAAATGAATTGTGGCCTTATTTTCGTCATGGCCTGAGAGTTCACTCACCCAGTATGGAGATGGCATGCAGTCTAGCCTGCACGGCCTGCAGTCTCTTCTTGTGGTTCGAGAAACCGTGCGCCAGACGGATGTGTGTGAATAGCAGGGTCTGCTTGTCTTTAGGGATGTTATACATGACCGTCAGCGACTCCATGATCTCAGATGGACTCTCCGAGATCTGAGCATGCACCAGGGAAAAGCCACGATTAAATTCAAGTGTTATCAATAAGGCCATTAAGGGCATTGCCACAATGATTGAGAATAACAGGAGCTCACCTTATCAAGTTGTTCAATGTGGATGTAGTGTAGCGTGTTGCTGCTGGACTGTAGAAATAAGAATAATAAAAACAAAACAAAACTCATTATTTGCTAAGTTTGCTTACAAAATAACACAACACCAGACTAGCTATTTATGAACTCTGTATGAAGAAAGAAACTATCAGAAATAATGCAGAATGAATTCTTACCTTCTTCTCCACTTTGACCTCAGAGCTAGGCTCAGCATAGAACTCAAAGTGCAGAGTGGTGGCACTGGGTGGGTATTTCTGCATACACAATGAAGAAATTGAGCATCAGAACACGGTGTGACCTAATAAAACAACCTAGCAATGTATTTTTCAATACGTGCACAGTAAAAACACTGTATAAGGGGCATAATGGCTTACCGTCATGGGCAGATCTCTGCAGCACTCAGCCAGACCAAAGCCATTTTCCTTCCCTCCCCAGCTCTGCATGGAGATAAATACATTAGAAAAAATATGTAATGGATGAGAGAAAAGAACTTTCAGCCATAGTAAATCAGCGAACTGAATCCATAGCACACTTGAACACATACAACTTAGGTCTAAATTATGTTTCACTAAACTCACTTAAGCATGCAACCAGTAAACACTGAAATGGTTTTGGCCAAAATGGCACCCATTCCAACAGTCTTCTCTGGTGAACAAAGTTAAGAGACTATCACAGCCAATCTTACCTCAGCCAGGTGTTGCAGGCGGGCAAGCAGAGGGCTCCTCTTGTCCGAGCCCAGCCTGGTGATGTAGTTGGAGCGCTTGCTGAACACATACAAGAGGTTCAGCACAGACAGCACCACTTGCATGTCGCATGATGCTAAAAGGGTGGTCAAGTGCTGTAGGGCCAGAGAAAGAGGGGACAGAAAGTTGTATACATCTGTATTGAACTTGTTAAAGTCAACAAGTGCTGGATGGTACTGATAAAATTCAATACAGGGTGATTCAAAAAGATTCATCCGATTTCAAAGCGCCATATTTTTACAACCGTGAGGTGCCTACGAACCTATCACATACCAACTGAAAGAGGGGGTCACAGAGTTTCTGACTGTCACCGGAAGATGGCTCCCTTCAGTCTGCAAGGAGATGGCGATCCCTGAGCAGAAAGCAGTTTGTGTTCACTTCAATAAGAGTGAATCTGCCATAACCGTGCAATGTGATTTTTATCGGCAGTGAACCTCCAACAGCTCAGAGCATTCGTCGTTGGTTCCACAACACTGGATGATCTCCGAAATCGCATTGAAAGAGCCATGAGTACAGTGACACCTGACATGCTCAATCGAGTATAGGATGAATTAGACTATCGCGTTGATGTTGTCCGTACAGCTGGAGGAGGCCATATTGCACTTTATGCTCACTTAAACCATTCACAATTTGCTGCATTATTCTGTAATGATTTACAAGTGAAAAATCATTTTGAAATCAGATGAATCTTTTTGAATCTCCCTGTATAACAATAATACCAATTACCACAGTAGTATGGTATCAGACGATTTAGGTTTGAAATAACAAAAAGACAACAAGATGATGGATTACTGTGTACTGCTACTCTATGGTAAGGGCATCTTAACCTGACATATTTTGTATTGATCTGACTGTTTCTTCTATTTCCTTCTCTTAATAGTATTATAAACGGTAAGCAGACTGGAACCACATTTCCTAATGAACTCATCATAATAATATTTGTTAACCACAGAGTGTGATAACAGCAGTTTTCAAAAATGGCATTCATTTGTCTCCATACAGCCCATACCCTTATATGGGCACAACAACAACTAATAAAAGACGATGCATCTTCAGAAGACTATGGCATTCACGTGTAATGGAAAAGGCCTTTTTAATACCTCTATGGAGCTGTACAGGTGCCGAGAGAAGCTGTACTCTATCAACAGGGCTGTGAAGTTCAGCACCGCCAACAGCAAGGCTTTGAGCTGCCCATTGTCTGGTCGATCACAAACCAGCATCCAGGACATGTTCTCCACTGTCTGTCCAGCGTCACAGAGGATGCCATCGAAGCGGTCCAGGAGGTCTACCCAATGGTACAACTCACACTGCCAAGAAAGAGAAAGAGCCATAAGAATACTACAACTAAACACAGGAGCACCACAGTTGTTCAAATAACCCTTTACTTTTGTAATCACCTTGCCAATGTTCCATGTTTTGATGTGCTGCAGCTCCAGCAGCAACTGCTCATCACTGCATCCTTTCAGCTTCTCTATGAGCGTCCTGCAGTCAGCAGGCTGAGGGCAGAGGGGCAATATTTAGGATATGGATGCAGTGAAGAGACCTTATAACACACATGCACACATACATATAGGATACTGACCGCTTCAGTGGGGGTTTTCTTTAACTTGCTTCTGTCAACCTTCATGTTTACTGATTTCTACACTCTGCTCCTGCATAATCAGCATTAATCAAAAGAATTAATGCCCAAAAGCAAAAAACTCATTTCACACAATACAAGTGCTACCATTCTGAAGTAGTATCATGTCAAATTTGCACTACAGAGTACAGCTGGAGTCAATATACAAAAAACATTGTCTTGCATGTATACATGAAAATCAACTTACGATAATTAATTTGGCAATTCCAACTTAACGGCATCTTTCACATGTAATACCTGTGATGAAAAACAGACACCATTAAAATGAAGCACACTGTCTGTGATATGGAGAAAAAAAGAAAATAACCTCTCTTTTTATTTCTTCAAATATCTCAGGGACGTATCCAGAGCCTAAAATTAGGGCAGTCTTACAAATATAAAAGCACTTTTTGTTGTTCTAAAAACTGTCAGTCTAAAGCTATTTGGCTTTTTTTAAACACCATGCCAACACTTAAATCACCACAACAAGAGCTGAATTTGCTCTCCGGGTGCCAGAGAAACCCTGCATGTTCATGAATTAAGAGTGCTGTCAGAATAGGCTATTCATTCAGAAAATCAGTGTGCTCTGCTATGAGAACGATCAGAACGTGCCCTCAGTGATCTGGTCAAAAGGCTAGAGAGCTCCAGAGCAGCCATTTCAAATGGTAGGCATGGTAACCAGGCGTCAGAGATAGCAAATTTCATTTCTGGATGGATTTTGAGGTAGTTGTCCTCAAACTGCACAAAATTAATAAATAAAACAAAACATATTTTTCATATATCATATTTATGGTTCATGGATTAACATGATACCATGGGCATTTGAGCACAAACTGACAAAAACTTGATATATGGACTACTGCTCAGTTCGATGACAATTTTCAATCTCCTTTTCTGTTAAAAGAGCTTGGGCCACCAGCAAGAAGATTACACTTTAAGTACCTGATTTAAACTATCCTAGGCCAAATTCTTTCAATTGAGGGGTGAAGTACAAGTCATTACAGACACTACACCACTGTAGGCCTTTAAATTGTGGACAATTTAAACAATTTAAAACCAGTAAAACAAAAATATCCTTGTGTAGGTTTGCTGAAGCTGTTGCTGCCCAAAACCCATTCATACTAAAGCATGTTGAGGCACACGGCATCTATACAAGGCCTAGTTGAGGCACATGGCACCTATACAAGGCCCACAGATTAAAAACATTATCAGTCAAGCAATTGTATAGCACTTTCAACATGATTCAAGCAGATGGTGCAAAAAGCACTTTCTTCCTGTCAAAGTCCTCATTTAAAACATACCACTTCCCTGCAGCCCAAGTCATTCATTTCATTTTGTATGCCTATGACTGAGGTGTCGATGAACATGGTGCTACTAACATTTGTTATGAGAGCCATGTAAGAGATGAAACATGATTTGCACAATCTGATAACTAAATGGGATTACAATATCACAGAGCGCTATGTGTTTTTTCAATTTAAGCGCTTCTGCCTCATATGAAACGTGCCCAATTTTGCCAAATTGGTTGTTCTGCCAAGTAATAGACAGATGCCTACTGCATGACATGGGCACTGTCTAAATGTTCTAATAAAACAGTACAAAGGTCAAACAAATGGCAAAATCTATTTTAAAGATGTGATCACCAAAGAAATGTAAATGCAGACAAACTTAGAGGGAAAAAAAATGACAAAACATTTGGTACTCCACACGACTGAAACTATAATGGGAAGCAAATGTCTGAAAACTCAGAATGGTTCACACACACATTAATACACACTATCTATTAAATGATCCATCCGTGGCGATTACATCTAATATCAAACCTTCAGAAACCTACCCACAGCTACAAAGAGATACAAATTCCATTCAGTAAACGTATCTTGTACAAAAATAGATGCTGACATGCAACATTAACCAAATAATAAGCACTAAAGATGAGCTACTAGTCTGAATCTCACTGCAATGTTTACACACCTAATAAAACACTTCAGCTAGCAACAGCACTTCCGTCTGTGTCTAAATTGCAGTGCTAAATGATACTGAAAGCATAACAGAAAGAATTAGCCTCCTGTAAGTTTTTTAGGCTTCAGACAAACACAATGGCTATCATGCTAGCTGTACATCCCACTGCAGCCAAGTTAACTGCAATGCAACAGCAAAAAATGCACTGACGTGCGTCTGTACATTAACCTAGCTAGCTACAGTTAGCTAACCACAGCTTGCCAATAAACGACATTAAGAAAGCAAGCAGACAACCACCTTTTCTAGGGAGATATAAGATAAAAGCACCAGGCGAAAAAAACAGCACGTAGTCGAAATTCAATTTCACTGGCTAGCAACAGCTAAAAGGGCAGCTAACGCGTAATGTCTTAGCTAACCTAGCTACAAAATAATACGGGGGGCCACATAGCAAAAGCTAGCTAGGTTAGCTAGCTAACTTAAGCGGTGAGCTCTCCCTCACAGACTACTTAACTCAGCGAAAAAACATAAATGTCACCCCTTATACCAACACAAACACGTATGGACATTTGCATCAATGTGTGAATTAGTTGATGTAGGAGTATACCATTCAACAGCCGCATTCAGAAAAGAATGTGTCATTAGACCGCTGGGTTAGCTACCTAGCTAGCAGGCTACATAGTCTAGCCTCTTGCAAGCTAGCCAAGCTAGGAAAGTGCAATCGATTATTGCTCTCTAAGATGTCAACATAAACTTGCTCGACTACAAATATCTCTCCGAAACATTTTCTTTAGACAAGGGTTCAGTACAACAGCTAACATATATGTCGATGAAGGCTGAAAAGCAAAAGACAGCACTTAGCTAGCCCGACGCTCAACCTAAAAAAATCTTCTCCTCTCGGCTCCACATGCTCTTGTTGTCTAATCCAGCGCCCGGCTGTGGCGGGCCTGCCGAAGCCTCCACACTACTGTAATATAACAAGCTAATAAGGGACGATTACTCACAACACGGACACAAAACTCGTCCTCACACCCTACCACGGCCTTTCGCTCGTACGTACCCGGCAAACAGAACCCCGTTTCGGTCTAAATACTTCTCTACAAGCGTGAAATCGCTGGAAGATGCTCAGACGTACGGCTCTCGTACATGCGCTCTATCGTAGGCTGGCTGGCTGCTCAGCTAACTGAGAAACGCATAATATGTCGCTGAATCATTCCCCAAACAGGCCCGGCATAACACCGAGTGCGTGCTGGCGAGATTTCACAGCTTCACTGCTCCACTGACTGCGTAGCTCCCTAAAAGCCACACAGCTACGATATTATTTGCTGCATGTGGAGTTTATTAAGCAGTTTGGCAAAAAAGCCAGAGAGTTAGATTTAAAATGTCTACTGTTCACGAAGTATTTTCAATCCCAGCTTCTTCTTATTATTTCCACTCATACAAAGTTACTGCATTTACTGCCTTATTTATATTCTCATTTGACTCGTTTTTTTTATGTGCTGTGTTTAAGTTTATATTAAATCTTTCAGCATATCATAACTCTGCCAGTGAAGCACAGTACTCTGCCAGTATATTACCAACAAACAGATGTGTTAATGGTTGTATTAAAAAAAAAAACCACAATAAAGTTAATAAAATACATCAAGCTACAGGGTGCCTACATCAATCTGCATGTCAGTATTTCTCACATCGCTGCTGTCGGAAGAAAACCTCCATTTTTGTTGTTTTTCAATTTTTGACATAATTTGAAAATGTTGTCCTTTACATTGTGTGTATTACATGAAGAACCGACCAAAAGAAACGGCCACAAAACGACTTGGAAAAAAGTCTGATTCCACTGACTTACATTAAAGGTGAAGTAGGTTTTTTCCTTCTCCTGTAAAGTTATCATTTTGGAGATACAAGATTTTCTTCCAACAGCAGCGATATAAAGCTATGAGCGTGATATGACCGCAATCAAACCTTTACATGTGATTTATTTCTGCACTTAAACTGAATGGTGTGTCTTATTTTCATTGTTAAAAATGCATGGGCACAGATTTGAAGTCTTTGAAAAAGGAATAATAATAATAGTAATAATAATAATAATAATAATAATAATAACTATGCAGACAGTCCGACAGCCTGCGTGCAATAAGTGTGGTAATGTCTTAGGCCATAAACCCAACTTGCAATTAATGACAAAATGGCTATAAGAACAAAGTGACAATATTTTTCCCAATCTTGCAAAAATGAGGTCAAACCTTTAATTGGAAACAGACAGATTCTTCTCATGTCTGTTCTGATTTAGGTTCACTCTGCATACTGAATTATGCAGAATACTAAAGCGTATGTACGACAAGGTTAAAGGGGAATTCCACTGATTTTTAAATATTTGCATAATTGCATAATTAAATCATTAAGCTATCAACAAGTCACTCATAATGTCACTCATAGTGGTACGATGTGAAATGCTTCGCTCTAGAAAAACTTTACAGAGTCAGAATTGTCCACAGAGGTGGTCACAGAAACCAGATATCTGAAGAGGTTTATGCTTACAGAAAGCTAGCAGATGTAATGGTTGCGAATATGCTGCATCATTGCTAAACACTGTTTTAATATCTCTGTGACAACGTTTTGGGTCTAACATGTTTTCTACATACTTGGAGGGTGTCATGATGAAAAACAGTACCCAAAGAAATTTTAGACATTTAGCACTATTTTACCATTATTACCACTGCATATTAAAACTCAGGAGAGAAGTGTATCAGTGGTTTGATGGATAGTTCCTATATTTGTGTAACACACTCCACAACCCCTTGTTTCTGTCACCACCACTATAAAGAAATCTTAGTTGATGAGTTTCTCTACAGTAAACCATTTCACATCAAACCACTCTGAATGACTTTGTTCACATTTCAACCATTGAGTTTTGCAGAAATATTGGAAAAAAAATGGTGGAATTCCCCTTTAAAGTTATGCTTCACTGTTTCATTAGCATTCCAGTCATATCAATGGGAGGAAAATGTGTGTGTCATGCTGACAAAGTGCTAAAACAGGGAAACAGTCTTAAAATCCCTTCAAATTATCAGATGGATGTGAGAGAGAGGGTCTTAGGGGTGTAAAACAGTGCTGCTTTTTGACATTGAGTGTAAGCTCAATGATAAGCTAAATACACCACAGTATATGACAGTAAAGTGAAATGGTTTTGTGGTCTCTCTCTGATGAATGTCCCTCATCTTACACACGAGCACATGCTATCACACAGCTAGCGACTTTTCCTCGCTCACTCTTTACAGATACATGTCGTCTTGACGAAGCTAACACGCCTAGTGTTAACTTACAGGGCACGGATTTTGTTGGCATCGTCAAAAAACAAATAAAAAAACAAATAAAAAACAAAACTGAAACAAAACCGAACCCAGATCACTACACAGACTCGTGAGCGCGCACATATACAGCGCGCGTGCACGCGAACAGCCGCCGCTACAAAAGCTGCTCACATATTAAAAATGGCGGTTTATACAGTAGGAATGTCCGGCCTTTGAGCCGCAAAACGCTGCTTTTTTTGGACGCTGTCCGCCCACGAACAAACTCCAAAACACAAATCCATTTGCTTCGTGTATCCTTACGAGTCGTTCTAAACGAGCTACGTGAGTTTGGAGCTGGAGTGAGTCGGAGAAACCGAACCGCTTACCTCGGGTCTTGTCTCAGTGTAACTTCTCCATTTTACAGCAGCTAACAGGGTGTAAGTCTCGCGAGAGCTGCAGCCCGCTCGGTGCCGCCCGGAGCTGAAGCGCTGAGGGCGATAGGGCATCACCGGCATGGCGGCCAACACTAATAGGTGGGCTAGCAGGCCGTTTAACTTTCAGTATCATTTATTATTATTGATATCACATATTACATTTGAAATTTGGACATGTATATGTTATTAAGACTAGTAAGAAAAAAAAATTGACATGTGAAAACTCAAATTCCAACATGCCAAAATTCAGCTTTTATTAGTGTTTGTATTTTGTTTGTTTTTATATCGAGATCGCAGATTAAGAGAGTGCACTTTTCAAATCGCAAGAACTGCATTTTTTTAAAATTATACTCTACATCATCCACAATGCTGTCTTAAGTTTGAAATGGGGAAATTTAACCTATTAACATAGAGTTTGTGAACTGGCTGTAGGTAAGTTAGACCAATCAGAGGCAACCAAACCTCCATGTGTTGTGACATCACAACCACATCTTACAGGCAGTCTGGCACACTATATTCAAGGTTCAAGCCTTAAGCCAGAAAAATTGGATATTCTGGTGTAAATCACTTATAGTCAATACTTGCAACTCAAATCACAGTCGCAGTATTAGTCAGAAAAATCACAATTAGATTTTTTCCCCAAATCGTTCAGCCCTATTTATCAAGTATTTGAAAATTAAATAAAAACTTTTTGGTTAATGTCCTTTAATGTTTACAGTACATTTTGAGAATGAAACAATGTATTTGAAATGTATCTCATATATACCTGTGTAATTTCTTCTTTATGGGATGTAAAATTCAGTTCTCACTGAAATGGCTTTTTGGCTTTTCTTAATGAAATTGGTGGCGTTTCTTTTTAACAGGAGAAATACCGTTTACTAGCATGAATTGAATATTATGTGCTCATTAAATTTTCAAAGGAAAAATGACTTTTCAGAAGTTATTACTAATTATTACTTGGGTGAATTGAAAAATAACTGTCATGTGCAAATTCCATTCTTACATGTAAAAACAGAAGTTTCTAAAAGTTTTACTTTTACATGTATATACTAAATTTTGACATGGAACAATGTAGTCTTTGCTAATATGACATTTTGAACATGTCAAAATTTGTAAAATATTTTACTGCTGAGGGCGACACGGTGATGCAGTGGGTAGTGCTGTCGCCTCACAGCAAGAATGGCCCGGGTTCGATTCCCGGCTGGGTGACCGGGGTCATTTCTGTATGGAGCTTGCCTGTTGTCTGCGTGGGTTTCCTCTGGGTACTCCGGTTTTGTCCCACAGTCCAAAAACATGCAGTCAGGCTGATTGGACATGCTAAAATTGCCCCTAGGTGTGAGTGTGTGTGTGACTGTGTATGTCTGTCTGTCTGCCCTGCGATGGACTGGTGACCTGTCCAGGGTGTATCCTGCCTTCTGCCCAATGACAGCTGTGATAGGCTCCAGCACCCCACCGCGACCCAGAAGGATAAGTGGTTTAGATGATGTAAGTATGTATGTATTTTACTGCTGAATATTTAATAAGCACGTTAAAATTTTAATTTATACTTTCATAAAAAATTAAAATAAAAAGTTTCCACTAATGAGAACTGAAATCCTATATCATAAAACATAATGCCAACTGCTAAAAGTTTAGTTTTGACCTAGCATTACATTTTTTACATGTCAAGACTCATGTTTTACTACTGCTGCCAAAATGTTTACTTGTTTAACTTAAATTTCTGATATCAAAAATTATAGATTTAAAGCTAAAATTACTTTTCCAGAGCTATGCAATGATTACTGGGGAAATCCTGCATCTTAACAAACTAAAAGTGTTGGTAGGTTATGAGTGTGATCATATCCAAACACAAAATGTTGAGTTGACAGAAGATCAACTCAGTGTTCAACAAACCCACATGGTGCATTTGGACAAAGTGCAGGAAAAAATGTCTCATTTTTGTGTTGTGATTGAGGGTCAAATGCTGAATCTTTAAACGAGTATATGCCAAAGAGAAACAACAGAAATGGTCAAATGCACAGTGCACAATTATCCGTGGCAATAAGAAGATGAGCATAAAGTTATAACTGGGCCTTCTTGAAGTTCTCTGAGCCATCTTCTGCATTATTTGTGCTGTTATAAGTCTACAGAGAAGATATTTTTTATTTTAAAATCAATTAACTGTGATGAGCCTTTAAATTCTACCCTAAGAGCAGTGCAGAATAAAATAAACATAAAAACATACACACAGAAAATGTTAAATTATTCACAATGCATTTCAAGCACAACTGTATAATGTGCTGTGTAATACTTGCCTATTAGAAAACAACACTGCACACACACTGTTTTTCCACATAACATTTTGTAATTATAGTATGAAATAATTTGTAGTAACAACTTTATAGTTAACATACTTGATAAAAGGTTTTGGAATGCAGCAAAACCAGCGTTATGACAAAAGCTAAAACTTTGTGTGCATTATAAATTCTTATCCTATGTGCAAAACACATTAATATGCATTAAGGGCTGCCCTAATGGTCTGATACTACATATTAACCTGTAATTAATGTAAAAATTTTGCATACAAAGCAAATTACGATATATGCTGAAGTTTGGTGCCCAGTGCCGTAGTTAAATGTCATTAAATTAGGCCAGCACTACCAGCAGGGGGTGCCAGAGTTATACCAAAAAGCCCTGCATCTCTGAAATCTGATGATATTGGTCCATTACTAATAACATCAATTTAAATGTTGGATTAGGTTTATATTAAATTTGAGGTAATTGAAGAAGAATGTGGCTCCCACTTTACTCAATGTTTTCTTTCTAAAATTACTAAATCCCACCATCTTTTTACAGGGAAAACATGTAATGTTCCAAAAATATTAACAAATATGATATTTTTGGTCACTTTCTTTGCTTTTCCTTCTTTCTTATTGTTTATTACTCAGTTATTGTTACTCTGTATCCTACAATCGGGATCTGTTATTGTTGAATGATTAGATGTTTCTTTATCTGATTCATTCAATCAATTTTCTAATTTTTTTTTAACCCATGTGTTGTGTTGAGGTCTGTGGGCACCATTTTCAATGTGTACCAAAAACTTTATGTGATTAATTATTATTTCAACTTCAGATTCAGTGGCCTTTGCTCATTATCTGTGAAGAGCATATAAAATAACACATTTTCAATGACTCCCCACTGTTCACCCCCTACACCTTTATATTACACATGTGGTGGTGGGGTGAACCCGCGGGGAATAAAAGTGTGGAGGTGCTGTGTCCCTTCACGCTGTTCTCCTCCGACATGGCCTGCTGTTATTGTGTGTGTCTGTGTGTATGTGTTTGTATGTGTGTGTGTGTGTGCGTGTGAGGGTGGATAACATGGACAGGCTGCTGACTGGCTACAGCTGCTAAAGGAGAACCCTACACTGGCCACTTGTGATATTTTAAACATCTGGTATTTTTACATAAATTGTTAAGGCTGTATTGATTTAAAAAATAAATAATGTGGTGGGTCCACCAGACCACTGAGTACCAAAAACATCAACACCATACAAGAGTTAAATATTAGTGAATCGGTCCACAAGAGTGTGAAATCAGAATGTTTGGTGTGCAACTTTGAATTATTAAAGGTATCTCTACACTACAATTGCTTTCCTGCTTTATTTTTATTATGACTAAGTAATTATGATGAATCCTTCAAACGACAAAAAATAATATATTCTAACTGGACATGTAAGTGTTCATTTTCTCAGAATAAGGATACCAGAAAACATATTGTCACTGTTGGAACAAAGCCTTGTATGTCCATGTTTGTTGTTTTCCTTTTTTTGTCATAATTTGAAAATGCTAGCTGAATGTACATTGTGTGAAAGTTTCAGGATGAATGGACCAAAAGAAATGTTCCAAAAATGCTTGGAATAAAATCTTGTTAATCTTGTTGCTAACTTGAATGTTTTTTTTCCATCTCCTGAAAGTTACCACTTTGGAAATATGAAGTTTCTGTCTGACAGTGACAATATGAAACACCAAAGGCTCTCTGAAAAAGCTGATATATTCAGTCATATGTATGGCGAGAGATGGTTAGCCTTGGGTTGTGTCTATCTACTATCTACGGAATGAAATGAGAGATCTTATTAGGTCATATTGGGTTCTAGATTTGTTGGAATATTGGAAAACTCAACTCTGCCAAGAAAATTTGTAAACAAGTCACATGTAAACAAGATAGATGATCAGTAGCATTTAGTAAGCTAGCAGCTAACTTACTGGCTGCTTAGACAGATGTAAATGACCTAAAAAAGAAGAACAGCATGGCCTAAATGTAAAATGTACTTGTTTAAAATGTTTAACTAGTGATTAACTATATTACTACCAGAATGCTGCAGTGGTAGTGATCCATCTGCCATCCTGAATTAAATTTTTAGTTCTTTGGTTTGATTTTCAATCATTGTGGAATACAATAGTGTTGAGGTTCACAGTAGGATGAGAAAGACTGTCATAATCATTGCACTTGAATATATTCTATATGGGAAGACCCTAAAAGTAGCTCACTCCCCATTAAGGTTAGTACATACAGGACAATAGTTGATTTACTGAAACACTGGGACACTATCTGTAAACAAACTCCATGCTCAAATTCAATTGTGTAGCAGTAAGCTTAATGCTAACTGACTGTCTGACTAAATGAATAGCAAATGACTTAACAGCTAACAAAAGCCTGATGGTATTACACATGTTAATATTTAAAAAAAAACAGAAATCACTAAACTAGTGATAATGTATAATTACATACAAATATTGGTTAGTGACAAATCATGGCTATTAAAGAATATGTCTTATAGGCTTATAGTCTCCTGTGCATGTCTGCAAAGTCTGGAAAAGAATGGATTTTCTCATTTTCAGATGTAGTAAAGTATGAAAATTCAGAGAAAGTTTTGAAAATCTGTTGTCAATGTAATATAGATTCAAATGCCAAGATTCAACATCTTCAGAGGAAGAGAGACAATCAAAGTCTGTCCATAGGGTCCGCCCAGCCATGAGGAGCTTAGGGTGTGTGGCCAAAAAGGGTTAAATAGTATAATAAAAGTGGGAAGTGGGGGGGTTACAGTGTGTCGGAAGTGTCTACCCTCCCTGGATGTCATGTCCTCTCACGTAACCCTCTCCCTGTGGTTCAGGTTGGGGTAGTGCTGGGCTGGGCATTTCGCTGTCTTTTGAAGTGTCTGTTCAAAATACAAGAACATTTGCCTATGTGCGCTATGTTTTCTGCGTCTTCTAAGCTGATGCTACACTGGTGTCAGGAGTGGGAGATGATCGCCAAACTGGAAGAAGTCGAGCGGCACATCAATCAACTCAAAGAGTCCGTTCACTCTCTCTCCCAGAGAGTTTTCTTCTTTCACTCTGGTCGCTGTTTACATTCTGCATGAGCGACATGCAGAAACTGCTGGCCAATCAGATAATGAAAGTAGAAAGAAAGGATCCAGGCTCATTACTCATCATTCTGGGAGACTTCAACAGTGCAAATATAGTACAGGCAGCATGTCACCAGTGCCACAGGAGAAGGGAATATTTTGGATCATTGTTACACCACTATTAAAAATGACTATCGTGCGGTCTCATGCATGGATCTCGGTCATTCCAATCACAGTCGTTCAGTTTGTGTTCTGAAACTGATTCCAGGTGCATCTAATGTTTTCCTAATGGAATCTAAAGATATCCTACAGGAAACTAGAGATCTCTAATGGTAACCATTAAGTCAATTCCCATTAAAAAAAGCAAAACCATCAGGTTTTAAGCCTAATGATTCTAATGGTCTGTTTTTAGCAGGTGGGGGCAGGCCAGGATAGCTTTCTAGTGGCTGAATCAAACACATCTTGGGGTGCCCTGCTTTAGTAAAAAAAAATAATGTTTGCAGGTTTATGATGACATATTAGCTATCACAGCTAAATGCTGTGTTAGTTGTAGCAGTTCAACACTTTAATCTCCACTGATGACATGACATTTCTGAAATCAGAGTTCACCCAGTCTCATTTGTTTCAGGTAGGATAGGGGGCGTTTTCAACATCAGGTGGATTTTGATCATTTAAGATGCTTTTCTGTGTAATGCCATGTGTAAACATAAAAGTCAGTTGTCAAATATACTGTAGGCTACAAAAGCGAGGAGGCTTGAAGGGGAATTTTTTGCATAATTCCGTTGTTGAGATGTAAACAAAGTCATTCAGAATGGTTTGATATGAAATGGTCCATTGCAGAGACAGTTTCAGACTCAAATTTCTTTACAGTGGTGGTGATTGGAACCAGGGATTGCCATGTTTGCCATTTTATTTACCGTCCAAAAGCACCAGTGAACCTACACGTCTTCTGAGTTTTTATACGTAATGCTGATTATGGTAAAACAGCTGAAAATCTGAAAATTCTTCTGGCCCTACAACACCCTGCATGCTTTGTTTACACCATACCTGTTTAATTAAGGCAGGATTGTCCAATCTTATTCACAAAAGGCTGACATGGCTGCAAGTTTTCATTCCAAACGAGCAGGAGCACACCTGATTCTACTTGTTTAATCAATTGTTCAGCCTTTAAAGAACTGATCCTGTGCAGTCCTGCTTTGTTGTAATGAAAACATACAGCCACCCCGGCCCTTTGTGGATAAGATTGGACTAATTTAAGTGAAACTTTTGAAAAATTGGTGGGGTTCCCCTTTAAACGGAGGTTCTCTTCTGTTTCAGCCACTGGGGGCGCTGTATCTGTGCAGTTGCCCATAGTAACGAATGACACCACCAGCAGAGACGCACGCTGCAGTCGAGGCTTTATTGCTCAGGGAGTTGTGTTTTACTCACAAACGTTAACTAGATTAATGTGCCGTTTCTCTGGTGCTGTATAGATCGGGAATTTGGTACTGACAGGACAGGTTTGCTGGCTACATCGGTACGTTAGCTAACCTAGCTAATTCGCTATCTAGAAACCGTCCGTCATTAGCCAGCCAGCTAACGGCTAAATAATAACTTACTAGTTAGCTAGAGCCAGTTTAATTCAGTGCACATTCTTTCAACCACATTGTTTTAAACTCACGTAGCTGACATACTCATACCATTGCCCCGTACGTTAACGTTAGCTAGCTCAAGTTAAGCCTAGTGGCTTAACGTTACTTGTGTCTGTAACGTTATTTGGCGCCGCTCAAAACTGTCTAACGCTACGTAGCGTAGCTGGTAACGCTTTTTTATTCTATCCAGTTCAATGTCAGCGATAAGCAGCCTTGTGCCAGCTCGTTTCCTCACTCTCATAGCGCATCTTGTCATAGTTATCACCATATTCTGGTCACGGGTGAGACCTTTTCTTTTGTATTGAGCCTCTTATATTTCTTGCTAACCCAGAGTATAGCCCTTTCCTTCCTTTTTATGCTTCTGTTCACAATTTCTGAATGAAATCTCTGAATAAGAGAGCTGTGTTTATAATGATGCTGCTTTATCCTTGTCTTTTTCTAGGAGAACAATGTTAAAGCTTGTTTGCCGTTAGACTACACTAATGGAGAATACGCTCTGGAAGACACACGGTAGGAATAAGTCAGTAGAAATCCACTCACACAAATACAACACAAAATTGAGAGTGTTTAATTCTTTGTAAGCTCTTCATTGTTGCCTTATTCCCCACTTTCTCCTTGTTCTTGTTTCCAGGCTGGTGGTGGCATTATCTGTGTCTCTGGGACTGTTTGCTGTAGAACTTGCTGGGTTCTTCTCTGGAGCCTCCATGTTCAACAACAATCAAGGCCTTTTATGTATCCTTGCTAGGGGTGCACCAATATGGGAATTCTGGGCCGATGCAATATTCGATATTACTCGTGCATATCTACCGATACATAACATTTATAAAATGTAGAAATTTGGACTAGATCCACTTGGATTGACATGACAGGAAAATATAACATCTACCTCTGTAGGATTAGCAATGAAATAAAATTAATAAAATGCAGACGTTTTAGCACAGCATTGCCTTAAGGTTCTGCTGTTCCAGAGTACAATAAACATATTACCAAATCAAATCTGAACATCTGTCCAAGACATCTTTACATTTCAGTAGGTTCATCAGTTGAATCATTACTCGGTCGGAAACCTAATACCTATGTAACAGGTAGGCTTCATAATTTGCTATTACAACATAAGGGCAAAAGACAGTTTGCATCTCCACCTGTCTACCTGTCAGGTCAACAACAACCCACTTCTTTTTGATTTGAGTTGTGGAAACTGTCAGAATAAAAATTGTGATAAATTTGAGTATTGTTGCTGTTTTTCAATTAAATAATTTTTTGTAAAATATTATGTAATTGAATGACTTACCCAAAGTATTGTTTATCATCACCTGAGAAACCCAAACCATGTTAATCAGCTCTATTTTGCTGCCGCTGCTTGATTTCAAGCAGTGAAGCCAAAAGAAGGAAGACAGGATATTTGATAGATAGATAGATAGATAGATAGATAGATAGATACTTTATTGATCCTGAAGCAAATTCAGCAGCCAGTAGCAGTCACACAACACAATATTGTATAGAAGCTTCTACATTTTTGGACTGGTAGGGTGATTACAAAATAAAAATAGGACATGCATTGGTGCAGCACTGCTTTCCTGATTATTACTCTTCAGCTACAGCATGTCATGCAAGTGGCTCTGTTGCTCTGCTCTTCTTTCTGTTTGAGCAGTGGACCTGCAGCATCTACTGGTGGATCTTTGGCTTCTGTAGGTGAGTCAATGATCAGATTTTTTGGCGCAGCAGTTTTCACCCTGTCATGCTTAGATTTATTATATAATTGAAAGAGCTTTCAAAAAGCATATACTTTTTGGCCTATTTTGACCTCTTTTTCTTTCTCTTTCTTTCTCTTTTTATTTTAGTGTGATTCCTGCACTCTATGAGATGATCCTGCTTATTGCTGTCTTTGGGCTGAAGAAGAAGCCACTGTGAATGATACAGTATTTGCATGTCTAATAGAATTCTCCTTCATGGTATAACAGAGAAGATTGGGTTGCCAAGCAACAGGAGTATCGGTGGTCTATCTACAATCAGAGCATAAAAGGAAATACTGTTAATATTATTACAGTTATGTCTATATTCTTATTATCATTTGTTCTCATCAAAAGTACCAGAGTGGGACCAGAGAAATGGTGCTTTAATCTACTCAATGTATGTAAACAAATGGAACTCAAGTAGGGAGAATTTTATACTGACCTTTATCAATATAGCTTTTATGTTTTGTGCTATTGTTTTTTTATAGTTTGCAAATAAAATAAAATATTTTTTAAATGAAAAGTTGTAATTGAATGCAGTATTGCATGTTGAGAGTGAGGACTGAATGCAGCCTTGCTGAATATCACCAGAGAAACCCAAAGCATGTTAATCAGCTGTATTGCTTGATTTCCAGCAGTGAAGCCTAAAGAAGGGAGAAAGGACATTTTTTTGTAAGGGTCTTCATGTTTTAAAGCACTGGTAGAGTATTCAGGACATTTGCAGTGTGACTGCATCTTCCCAGAAAAAAGAGACATTCAGCTTTCATGTGTTTTGTTGTGAGCCAAATAGGTCTTGTTTGTACTGTTGTGCTGGCCTAAGAAATTGAGATGCTCTAGTCTCATGGCTGACAGAAGCTTTGGAGTCCCTCCCTCTCTAGCTGTCTGAGGGGTACATATAAGAGGAAAACTAAGGTGTAACAGAATTTTGACACTTAGATATTTTGTAATAATTAAGATGGTCTGACATACATTCATTGTGGTGTCTTTGTGGTTTAGTTTTTATGCCATATGAAGAATGGATCAATAGAAATGGTCCAAAATTACTTGGGATAAAAACTTTTTACATTAATTGACATTAAAGTTTAATAATATAAAAAAATATTAGAAATAATGGAAATCTAACCTTTAATTGAAGTAAATCTAGTCAACAAAAACAAAACCCCTTATCCAAAAACTGTTTTGAAAACAAAACCACTTGCAAAGTTTATGACCAAAATGTAACTGAAGCATGTTCCTATTTATATTTAATTGTTTTGAAGTCCACCAGAGTGTGCAGGAACTCTTTAATGGTCGTCTGTGACGTCCTGTTTCACTGGGGTATAAATATGAGATGAGAGAGGGGCTAAATTCTCTTAGTCATTCATCAACATGGGGGGAAATCAGAGAGTACACAAACGAAAGGAGACAAAAGTTTATTAACCTTCATAAATCAAGTAGTGGCTAAAAATAGCTGCTCACTGTGGGCAACAATTAAGTGGTTTAAAACAACTAAACCTCTGGTGAAGCTGCCTGGAAGAGGACCGGAGGGTGAGGGTACGATTTTTGCACAAAGGGTATGATCCACAATGAGAAGGACATTTCTAGAAGGAACATGGTTGGAGATTTGTAAAGGATGCATCGGGGGGTCACCAACCCTGAAAAAAGTGTGGTTACTTTACTTAACCCTGTGTGGTGTTCAGGTCTGCAGGACTCATTTTCAATGTTTATCACGAAAAATTATGCGATTTATTATTATTTCAACCTCAGATTTCTTGGCCTTTGCTCATTTTCTGTGAAGAACATATAAAATAACACATTTTCAATGACTTCCCACTGCACTCCCCCTACACATTTATATTACATATGGTGGTGCTGGGGTGAACCCGTGGGGAATAAAAGTGAGGAGGTGTTGTCCCTTCACTTTATTCTCCTCCTACATGGCCTGCTGTTAGTGTGTGTGTGTCTGGCTACTGCCTGGCTACAGCTGCTAAAGGAGAACTCTACGCTGGCCACATGTGATACTTTAAACATCTGGTATTTTTACATAAATTGTTATGGCTGTATTGATCTAGAAAACCAATGATGAGATGGGTCCACCAGACCACTGAGTAACAAACCCATGAACACCACACAAGGGTTAATTCCAATATGTACATCAGTTCCATAAGAACAAAATATATCAATTGAATTCTTGCTAAAAGTGAGTAAACTGAAAGAAGATATTGTGTTGATGTGACATACTGTGTTCACACGTAATGGATGTATGGAAGGCATGCTTGAAGAAAAGGCCCTAATCCTCACTGTTAAATTTGGTGGAGTGTCTGTGATATTGTGAGGCTGTTTGTCCTTTAAAGGCCTAGAATTTTTTAGAATGCACAGCAAAACGGACTCCATCAATTAGTAGGAGATTTTGAATGAAAATCTGGCAGCCTCTACTAAAAGGCATGAAATTGTGGATGAATCTTCCAGCCGGATAAGGATCCAAAACACATGCCCAAATCCACACAAAAATGGTTTAGTTGTCACAGAATCAAGCTTTTGTCATGGCCATCTTAGTCCCCCGACCTAAACCCCAATCTGTGGGGTGAGCTGAAGAACCAGTCCAAAAGAGAGGACCTATGACCCTGGATACAAGAATACATACCATATATACATACATGGCAGCATATTCTGGACTTTATTAAAAACAATACACATTTCGCCTTTGAATTTGAATCATTAATAATGCTAATTCACATTGGAAGTACAATTGTAAATACATATTCAAATGAGCATTTTCAAATTTGCATTCGAATTTGAATAAAGTCCATAATATGCTGTCATATTTCCTCTCAAAATGCTGTATATCCCCTTTAGAACGGAAAAGAACAACAGCTGATGTATAATCAATTTCTTTTTCCAAAAAGTAGTTATGATGTTGTGAGATAGTTAGAAGAACCCAGATCTGGTTCTAGACCACCACCCACAACCGCCCCCAGCCATCACATAGATTATAGATTTGTTAAACTCTATCAGCTGCGCACCTGATTTAACATAATGAAGTATTAATTAGTCGAATTAATGTATTGGATAATAGCTGTAATTAATACTGAATGATCAGAAGAGCTTTAGAAATGGTTAAACAAAAACACTGATGGGTAAAATCACTACTTATTGTATTAAAACTACTTCTAGTTTTGTATTATTAGTGTTTACAGTATATACAACTCAGTTGTGAGGGTTTTGTTCAGAGTCAATCATACTTACTGTGTCATTTAGGAAGTTTAATGAGCTCATGATGTTAGTGCTGCTGGCTACCTGTCAGAATGCAGAGTGTGTGTATGTGTGTGTTTGAGAACAGGTGGACTGCTAAGGTGCTGTCTGACCATGCACTAGGCCTGACCCCAAAGATACAGCGTCACAGTTCTTCTTTTCACCTGCCACTGAGGACTGTTCTCGGGCATCTCGTGGTAAAAGTCATCTTCTATCCCCTCCTGTCCAGTCTCATTGCTGTCTGCTGCATCCTCTCTGAGGAGAAGAAAGGACAGGGCAGAGTGAGAGGGAAGGGGAGTGACTTTTTAAAGCTAAAATTAACAAAGGAAATTGCTCTTTCAATTGGTCATTCCAACTGTCAGCTAGAGCCCAGATGGTACGGGTTTGACCTTTCTCTCTTGGCCTGAGTTAACCCAGCATCATAGTAGTCTGGGAGCAGGTAGAGGTTTAAGGTCAGGGCTTTTATTGACTGATCAAAAGGAGCAGCCAGGGAGTCAGAACAGGCAGAGAGTCTACGCTCTCACTACAAATGGGTTCTTCATCCCCTTAAGACTAGTGTGGATGTAAACATGGCCTTTCTCTTAGTTACAGGTGACTGAAGGAAATGGACGTCTAAGGATATAGGAAAATGTTTTAAAACATAGAGTCTGCAAAGAATCTATTTATTATTTACTATTTATCTCTTAGTTTTTGTTAAGTTCTTAATTATAGAGTTTAATCTCTAAAGTGAAGAGTTTTCCCTTTAAAACATAGTCATACAGCCAAGATATGTTTGGTGTCTGAAGTTTGCTTCTTTAGTTTTACTGGGAGCTACAAGGCTAATGTAGCTGAGTGATGAAACTAGTAATGCCCACCAGTTTCACATTTTACAACCTGCATACCCGAATAAATACATGGTTCAGTAATTTCAAATAGATTTGCTCATGTAACGTACACTCTCAGAAATAAAGGTCTGAAACTGTCACTGGGGCAAGTACCTCTCTTGTCACTGGGGTGGAAACCTTAAGGGTACATCTTAGCACCTTTAGTCAGGTAACGTAATTGTACCATAATCCACTGAAATTATATTTTGTACTGACTCCACACTCCCCGTCTCATCTCCAGGCTTTTTATTTTATTGTTCTGTTTTAAAATATTATGTTAAGAAAAGGTGCAAATACAGACTTTTCACCTGGAAAACATATTTAAGGTACACACACTGTTGTACCTTTAAGGGAACATTTACATTGTTTGTACCTTGATGAATGAAAAATGCACCTGCACAGAACCTTTATTTCTAACAGTGTGATGTAATTGGGATCTCATGGGTGCAAAAATAAATGAATGCCCCACATGCACAAAAATGATCTTCAATTAATTAAAAAGGACAATGTAATTTTCTTGTTTACTCACTATTATTATGTCTCAAACTAGTTGATGGTCTCAAGGCATGCAACTCCACTCATTAGCATCTAATGTTAACTCTATTTGGATCGCAATAATTCTACAGTCATATGCAAAAATGTGGGTGCCCCCAGTGAAGTGACAATAAGTTATGTAACATCCTCTACAGAGAATACACTTTTTAAATAAACAATTATTGTTTATCTGCTGAATTTAACATAAAATATGGAAAAAGTTATGGCACATTTTATATTTAATGTTTTATTCTTTTCCAGTATGTTAAACTCAGAATATTAACTGAAATTGTGCACTAAAAGTTGCAGAAACACCATACTGAAGTTCATTCCCTGTGGGAGGATTTTTATTTAAGCTTTATAAATAATGAATGTATCATGCTGCAATTTGTGAAGGATCTGTTTAAAAATGGTTCCAATGGATGAGATGCATTATACATAAGTGAGAGATAAAGAGACATCAGGTTTGTCTGTGTGGTACTGTTGGAAGTTAACTGGTTAGGTACGTTATTTAGAATTTGGAGTCATGGGTGTACAATTGTGTCAGTACCTATATGAGTGGCTTGGTTGCTGCAGCTGCCCCCCCACACCATAGGCCCCAGTGCGATCGCTCCCCATTACTCCTCCTCCCAGTAGTTAAGCTACTGGTCAAATGTACAGAGAAAATACAGGTTTCAAGATGAGTGTTACTGTTTTTAGCTATGCAACAAAATATTGTGCTTTGTAGATAACCACATGTAATGCAGTGTCAGAAACCACATAAGTAAGAGTATTTGAGGGTAACAGCTTTAGGTTGTTTGAGGCAAGTGTGATGATTTAGGCATGATACTAAACTGGCTAAACTGGCTATAAGCTGCCATTACTTGTTAGCTACATTAGCCTTGATGCTTCAGTGAAATACTGAAAAGCAAAGTCTGGACCCTTAACATGTCTTGGCTGATCGACTACATTTGGAATAAGGGGAAAATTGTGCAAATTTGATTTTTCCCTGAGCTTTAAATGGAAATAATTAGGAAATGTGATTTTGTTGGATATAGATGTATGAATGTATAAAGAAAACCAAACACCTTTAAAGCGCAACCTCAAATCTCCACTCACTCTTGGGGCAGCCATTTATGTAACCTGATTTTTCTTGACTAGATCGATACTTCCATTTCAAGGAAATCCTGCTCTCATATTCTCTAGATAGTCCAACCACTTGTCCCAACTTAAATAACCCATACAAATCAATAAGCCAACTTCAGCCAAGATGCAGCATGCTCGGGTCTTTAATGAGCTCTAGTGAGTGTATATACACAGCCCCATTTCCTTTGCTTCTCATGCACCTGTCCCCTCACATATTACCGGCACTCATTTCTCTCTCCATTGTTATTTCTGTCCTCCGCTCGCTGTGACCCACCTCCTATTCTGACCCCTCCTCTCTCGCTCTGTCTCACAGTGAGAGTTCTCTCCACCTTAGGCCAATTAGTGTCAACCAGACGCTAACAACATCAATGACCTCTGGCTTATAATTAAGGCCAACTGGAAGGAGCTAAGCATCTTGACAAAAATGGCACATCCTGTGACTGTGCAGGAGTGTTCTGCTGTCAGTTTCGGGAGTATTAATACACCGTGGGACGTTTAGTGACTGTTCTTTTGTAGGTAGCTTTTACATGACGGTAGTATGACCACGTATGAGGCTGTGTATATATCAGACCATAGTTTTGTAGTCGAAGAACTATTTTGTTAATTCACTTCTAAAAATAAAGGTTCCTAAATGGTTCTTGGCTTGGATGTATGGTTCTAGGAAAAACCCAGGATCTGCCAGAATAACTCTTGTAATTACTGAATAATAAGCATTAGGCTGTAATAAGTTTTAGATTTTAAGGGGTTAATTGGTACAAAAGTGGTTCTTCAAGCGTTCTTTAGTAAAGGCAATGGTTATATATAGATC